AATGAAATAGTTCAGATGTAAACAGAGTCGTTCAGAGCGGTTTGGTTTCTAGATAAACTTACTGAGTCCGAACTGTTCACAGTGTTGGTGATAGGAACCAGACGTCCACCTCTAAAAGCTCCCTCACAGAAAGTTCCTACATGAAATGGTTATGAATTCACTGCCTGATGACTGAGACACTGTCTGATAGTTTTGAGTGTAGAACTGTATCTGTATGTGCCTTATGTCACTTTAGTGTTAATTTCAGGACCTTCTTATATTTATATATATTTTTATTATTCTATTTTTCTACTATTAGTGTTTATTTTTTTACGATTAAGTGTTGTGTTTTTTTGTGTCTATTTAAATTCACACATTTCCTGTTTACCATCTATTTAATGTTATCACTACACCATGGGGTCTGAGAGTAACGCAATTTCAATACTTTGTATGCCCTGTACATACTGTAGTATTGACAATAAAGCTGACTTGACTTGTTTTGAGAACTTAAACTCCATATATGGTGGAGGGATACATTCAGGGCGCTGTGAGGCAAAATAGTCCCAAAGAAAACTTATTATTTCAGATTTTCCACTGTTTTCCATCATCAACATTCCATATAAACTCAGAAGACTCGTGTAGGTTCACTGGTGGTTCTGGATAGTAAATAAAATGTCTATATTTGTGTTGTAGTCATGGCGACCCCTGGTTCCCATCACCACCACTGTAAAGACATCTGAACCATTTCACACCAAACCACTCTGAATCTCTCTGTTTACACCTCACACACTGAGTTATGTAGGAATTGAATGGTTATTGGGGGGAAAATCCCTGGGACTCCCCTTAAAATGATTCTAAAGAAAATTATTGTCGTGATAGTAACAGTAATAGTCCTGAAATATTTTAATATTTTTAATCCTGTGATTTGAAGTGTGTAAATCCTACTTAGAATTTGTTTACAAGTGACACTTTGAGCACCTGACAAATTTGACTGGCAAATCTTTTCACACCTGTTTAACTGAAGTTGATCCATTGTTCCAGGTAAAACATCACAATAGTAAAAATTAAATAAATAAATAAAATCAGAATTCTAATTAGCTAGAGAACACGTTTACAGGTCAGAAGTTTGGAATCACTGTTCAGATAAATAAATCCATTTTTTGCAGGTCAGTATATAAAATGATTATATTACACTGTAAAAAATAGTAACTTAAAAATTTACTTCATGTGGTAACAAGTTAATAGTTCTATTAAACTGAAATAAATACTTTAAATAAAATGGTGGTTCATTTAAATTATTTGAGTTCAATAAATAAAAATAGTTTCTTGTCTTGTTTCTTCAGTGATGCTGCTAAACTACAACTTTGTATGTATCAATTCATATTAAGTCCAGAATGATGAGCAGAACATCAAGAATAAAAATCTAATAACACTAATATCCAGAATCCATCATATTTCAAACATGGTGATCAAATCTCAGGCTTAACTTATCAAGAAATTACTACAGATCCATACTTACAGTGTATAATTCAACAATGAATAAATTCATGCTGTTGAAATATTGAATACAAACATCTTAAATCATTTACAATATTTTAATTTACTCATTATTGGTTATTATTAAATAACAACAATTAATAATATGACTAATTATTTCAAGTTTTTAAACTGTAGTGTAGAATAAAACTTGCTGTTATTAAATAAACACATCCTGCTACCCAAATAGGATTATTTTCAGCCCTGCACTGTAAGACTGTACATTCCTTGTTAATAAAAGAAGTAAAGTCGGTTAATCATTATTTGATGTAAGTCTGAAGCCGTACCAGTTTAGTAGGACAGAGCGAGTCTGAAGAAGTGAAGCGCTCGTCTCCGTGTGAAACGCTGTGGGGGGTTTGGTGGTGTTTTTATTCTCCTGCTGATCTTCACTCCTCCCAGAACCTTCATCACCTCTGAGCTGTCTGTGCTTCACCCTCCAATAGAACAGCTTGATGTAAATATCTTCTACAAACAGTTCCTGTCCTCTAAACTGCTCTCTCGTCTGGATTAGTTCCACAGGAAATACAGAACCCTTTGAAGTGATACAGGAACATTATGTACCTGCATCTCCTGTAGAGTCAGTCAGTTCTAGATCATTTTTCTCGATATAATGTATAATATATAATAGTAGATCATGCAGGCATAGTGTAGCGTCAGCGAAGAACAGGACAAATAAAACATTGCTTGTTCAGGCAAATGCCCTTTTATTTTAACAGGCACTTAAACAGGCAGCAACAGATGCCCAGTCCAATATTAACCCAAACAAAACACAGGGAAGGAGGTAAAGCAGCAGGACCCGACAGTTTAGGAGGGTAGACACTTTAGTTAACTTTAAAGCCCTCCTCAGACACAGTTTACTACAAGCAACACAAGTACACTAATAACAGCAACATCAGCAGCAACTGCAACAATGAGTGTCCTCCTTACCTGGGAGTGTGGCGCACTCTGAGAGTCACTTTTCATGGCCACACCCCCTAAATTTCTCATGTCTGATGCCACAATACAGTTAATTCAAAATGTTATTAAAATTTAAGTTAAATATTTAAAAAAATCTCATAAATATTCCAATTGAAGACTGAGTAGTGGAACCTCAAACATTCTGAAATTGCATTTTATGGCTACACTCTCAAAGAAGTTTTTTTCAAGGGTTCCTTATGAAAGACTGTGGTTGTGTATAGACCAATGAACACACAAAGAACCATTTGCATGCTTAACTGGTGCTTTGCATGGTGATAAACGGAGAATGTGTTGTTTGTGGGTCTATATAGCACCAGAAATGGTTCTTCTATCATTACAAGCTTCTTGACATTGTAACAACAGCAGAACCCTTTTTGGTGCCATATAGAACCCATTGTAACACATTCTCCATCAGCCTGAAGAACCATTTCACCATGCAGAGAACCATTTAAGCCTGCAGATAGTTCTTTGAGTGTTCATGCTTCTACATTGAACCATTGTCTTTACTATAGGACCCTTGAAGAACGTCGTGTGTGTGCTGTGAAAATGAGTTTAAAAAGCACCTTCACATTCATGAAAACACTGTTTATTATATTAATATAATTTGTATTTATTCTAATATTACTGTTTTTCTGAGCAAGTAAACGTTATGTGCAGCTCTAAGAAATACTTTTTGTGTAATGTTTTTCATTTTATCTTATGCCATTTTTAGTACTGGTCCATGAAATTTTCACACAATGCAAAGGGCAGCTGAGGCTTTAAAATAAGGCAATAAAACAGAAAGAAAACGTGGATACGTAGTTCTGTCTGGACAGTGACCAGTTATATTAGTGATATTAGGGATGTGCATTCTGATTCATTTTGATATTCAACCAAACAGACTTCGAAAATAATGAAAATAATAATTAGGCTTAACTTTTTAGGTGACAGCACTGGTGTTACACAATAATACAGCAACATGTTTTATTACTGAAAAATCAACGCATTGGATGCTGATTAGGACTCGTCTCCTTCTACACAAGGTCTTTTCTCCTCAGACAAAATGGAACTGTAAATTGTACCTGTAAATTAATTATCAATAGTAGATATTACTAGTAAACGTAGCTCAGCATAAACTGAGCGGAGCCTTCATTACATTCCCTCTCCTTTCCCTGAAACACTGCTTCGTCAGTGACTCCTCTAAGCACAACACGGAACACATTCAGATGCATCACATGCTTCATGCTTGAACATGCTTTGTACACATTTGTAAATGTTTGTGTACAGGTATATGAGCATTTACATACACAAAACCCCCAGACTGCACCTGCTCTGGTCTCAGAACAGCTCATCCATGAAAGAGGCCACTGGAAACAAGTTCAAGATACTTTCAGACAACAAACTTGTTGTCTAGCTTATTGACAGACCACAGATGTTGTTCAGAAATGCATCAGTTTGTCTAAGAATGAGTCCAGTGAGCTTAAGGTATATTTGCAGGACAAAAATGCTGAAAAAACTTAATCATATTTGTACACAGATTGTATAATCTCCATAGAAAAGCACTGACCAACAGAATGAAGCAGCTGCACATGATCCTAAGGTCTCCATGTCCAATGCCAAGTTTGGGCTAGAGCCCAGCATTGGGCTGTGGAGCAGTGGAACTGTGTTCTCGGGAGTGATGGAGCTCTACCTGTGGGATGTGTCTTTGTCTGTAGCAGAATCCTTTTATTTTGGTAACCATGTGGAAAATAACCGCTGTAAACAACTAAACCTGGTTGGGAGTGTAGGAGAGTGTGGGTTGGTGTGGAGTATTTCTTTCTATGTTTTATCTTTTTTATTTAGACAAATTGCTTGCAACAACAACACAATAATAATAATAATAATAATAATAATAATAATAATAATAATAATAATTTTCTGGAAATGGTGATGGTGTTTGAGTTGAAGCTTCATCTTTGTCACATAAAAGTACATAATAAGCACAGTTCAGTAAAAGTTGTGGCTGAAGTATAGCATCCTCTTTAATTTGGTCACAAAACTGATAATCTAGTAATAAAGAACAGAATTTTGAGGCTGTTTCACCTGATTTCCAATGGAAAGAGAGCTGAGACTGTCAGTGTTTCTCTTCTGCATGCATCACTTTGCATTGTCTGCGTTATAGGATTGTTGTGGGAAGATAAAGCTGGAGATTTTCATAAAAGGTTAGACGTGACTTACTGTAAATGTATCTCTCCTTTTGATTCTGTACTGAATAATATGTAGTTCTTATTTTGTGGCATGTAAATAACAACATACCCACACACACACACACCATGTCCTCTGTGGATGCCCCCACTCATGATTCCTCCTAACTAATAGTTGCAGGGACTAATTGTCAAATGTTCGTACATCAGGTTGGAAATGTGCATCAAATCTTTTATAAAATATGCACCTGAAGTCTAAAGCCATCTGTGTCACCTTGGGGCTCCCAACCAAGTTGTATGTTTTAACTTCTACATTCACAAAATGGTTCCCATTACAGATAAATATGCAAAGAGACAGTGCAGAAGTGCATATACAACTCAAATGTGATTTATTTGAAGATTAAGAAAATTATTTCATTGCAGAACAAAATGTGCAGATTCTGACAGAACACAAAAACCCATTACTGACCAAACAACATAAGAACAAGAATAAAAAATATATATTTACTGCGTTATTTAAAGGATAAATAGGGCCATCCGGCCTTAACCATTAGGATATGTTTATACTTTCTTAGCCGAATTCTCTGGTTATGGAGTTTATATATTTATATTTGTATATGTATTTTTAAGTTTTTGACTACACTAAAGTACAGTATTACAGCAGAAACGTGAGAATGCAATACTGTTATGCTATGCTAATACCAGTGTAACACACATAACAGAAAGGCATTTTAGCAGTAACACTCTATGGCATTGTATAAACTTTAACATAATTTCCAAGCACATGATTAACCTACATTTAAATCTGTTCAATACAATGATCAGAAAGAGCTCTAAGAGATTTAACAGATTTCAGGTTCCTGTTTGGCTTAATTCACATCATTCCATTTTCAGATTTTATTCAGATGTATTGTTGCTAGGGAGGCCTTTTCTAACCAGTTCTTCTTTAAGCTGTAATATAAAAACACAAACCAACAGGTTAGATCTTCATTAGGAATGTCAGTATCAACTAATTAAGTAATCTGTGTTTTAAAACAAGGCAGAACAATCATACTTAACTGAACAATAACAAACCTTCCAGACCCCAAAATATATTACTGTAAAACTATAATCTAATTTCATGAATAAAGGTGCTTCCTACACCCACACTAGCCTGTTTGTACTGATTCAGTCTTCTCTCCTTAGTATGCCTTGTATTGGGGCGTTTGGCAAGGGTGCCCTCTATCACCTTTGCTGTTTGCTTTGGCATTGGAACGCTTATCTGTTCTCCTTATGTCATCTTCACAAAGACCTAGCGCTCTTCATTGTAATGTAGTAATGATGCTGATGATCTTTTACTGTAGTTAAGTCATCGTTTGACTTCTGCCTCAACAGTTAAATCTGATCTTTTTTTCTGAGTATAGGCTAAATTTACAAAAAGGTTTTCCTCTTAATATTGAATCCTTACAAACCGCACAGTCCGCCTTTAATAACTAGCAAGAAAGTGGACTTCTAACAGTGGAATAATCTCCCTCTTCTTTAGTGGGCAGAGTCTAAAGTGTGAAGTATACCTTTCTGTGCAGTTTCATCTGTCAGTGTATATTTCATTATCCTGTGGATACCTTGAGTATCATTCAAATTATGAAAAAAATGAAATTACGAAAATTATCAATTTAAATTGATAATTCAGTAAAAATTTATTGAAACGTACAACCCCATTTCCAAAAAAGTTGGGACGCTTTGCAAAATGTAAATGAAAACAAAATGCAATGATGTGCAAATTGTTTAAATCCTATATTTTATTGAAAATAGTACAAAGACAACATATGAAATGTTGAAACTGAGAATTTTTATAGTTTTTTGAAAAATATTTGCCCATTTTGAATAAGATGCCAACAACATGTTCCAAAAAAGTTTGGATGGGGGCATGTTCACTGTGTTTCATCACCTCTTCTTTTAACAACACTCTGTAAGCATTTGGGAACTGTGGAGACACTGCTTTAGTTTTGAACATGAAATATTTTCCCATTATTGTTTGATTCAGGATTTCATCTGCTCAACAGTTCAGGGTCTTCTTTATCATATTTTTCATTTCATAATGCACAAAATGTTATCACTGGCGGCAGTTTCTGGATCCTGTTTACATATGGTATATATGGTTTCTTGTTCTTTACGTTTTAGAGTTTTAACTTGCATTTGTGGATGCGGTGATGAACTGTTTTCCGAAGTGATTTCCTCTACTGACTCATGTCTGTTTTTAATGCAGTGCTGTCTGAGGGCCCAAAGATCACAGCCAGCAAATACTGTTTTTTGGCCTTGTCCCTCACATACAGAGATTTCTCCAGATTCTCTGAATCTTTTAATGATATTATGTACCAAAGATGATGAAAAGCAGAAGTTCTTTGCTATTTAATGTTGAGAAACGTTATTCTTGAATTGTTGCTCTATTTGATGGTGCAGTCTTTCACAGAGTGGTGAACCCCTCCTCATCTTTACTTCTGAAAGACTCCGCCTCTCTGAGATGCTCTTTTATACCCAATCATGTTACTGACCTGTTGTCAATTAACAACCATGTGTTTGTTTTTTTTTAGCATTTCACAACTTTACCAGCCTTTTGTTGCCCCTGTCCAAACTTTTGTGGAATGTGTTGTTGGCATCAAATTCAAAATGGGCATATATTTTTCCAAAAAAAAAAAATTTCTCAGTTTCAACATTTGATATGTTGTCTTTGTACTATTTTTTAAATCAAATATAGGGTTTAAATGATTTGCACATCATTGCATTTCGTTTTTATTTACATTTTGCACAGTGTCCCAACGTTTTTTGGAAATGGGGTTGTACATTTCAATAACTTTTTGCTGAATTATCATTTTAAATTGAGAAAACTTGCCACTAATAAACTTGATAATATGAAAAGTAATTAGAATAGTTAACTATACTGGACATGAGCAGCCACAGTAGGTATTACTTCTTATTAATGGTGTCACTGTGATTACTGTCACTTACCTGTTTCTAAAAACCTTCACTGGTGGATGTCTGTCCAGGGTTATTTGCTGAAGAACGTCTCTTTCTTTGTTTAACAAGATGCTCTTTGGAAAGTACACAAAACATTAATACCATTGACTAAAAACAATGAAAAACAATGAAATTTGTAAATTGATAAGCTAAAGTAACATACTTGGCAGTGGTGGGATGTTGGTTGCTCCATGTGCTGTTGTAACATCTTTTAGACAAGACAAAACAAATAAATAATTCAAATATTGTCATTGAACTGCAGAGTCGTTTCCTCTGCATTAGAGGATTTGAAGATTATTTGCACATTATATTACCATACAGGTAGATGGCTTGACAAACTCATAGACATGTCACAGAAACTATGTACATTATCAACCTATGAAGTCAGTGAGCGTAGTCACTGGTGTTGCATAAGCCCAGCAAAGCCCCCCATCAGACCACAATAAAAAAAAGCCTCCAAAATAACAGAGTTGTATCAAAAAAGTGGACTGGCAGCAGTGTTCAGTGTCACAGAGCCAAACCATAAAGTAGTTTATGTAGTTTGTGAAATAGGTCTGACCATGGCTGGAGCAGAAAACTGGAGAAAAAAGTTAGCAGTTAGCAAGGCTAGGGTTAAGGTTACAATTTAAAAGTACCTGAGTACATTTTAGGGCAGTGTGTTTAACAGTTCCCAGCATTTTATACACAATGAACCAGGTTCATGAAGCCTCTCAGAGTAGGAGTGTTGATCAAGGCTCTGTTCCTGTTAGTAAGGTCATAGTAAACGAGAGAAATCCTAGATCATCACTTCGACTCTGAGAAGCTTCATTAATGCACACAAATGCATTGAGATCAGGCTATAGACTATTGCTGACAACAGTGCAGTCATCATCCTACCTAATCCAATGTTACAATACAATAATAAACCTTTTTTTGCACATCACTGAAGCCCACATAAGTATGATGAGACAGCTGGGACTTACACAACAACTCATTCAACAAAAGTGCAGAAAAACAATGCCAGCAAACTTTAAAACCTAAACCGGTGAGCAGTCCAAGCTAAGGCATACTGCCATGGCAGGCATGGAAATCTTTATCATGTTCTTATGATTTGATGCACAGAGGAAGACATTTAAAGCTATTTTAGTTAAAGAGGATTTTAAGCAGCAAGTTCTCTATCCAGTTTCAGGCATAAACAGCTGCTTACTGCATGTTACATATGAAACTGGTTCACAAGCCTGAACGTGCAGTTTATGGGCCGTGTGCATGGAAAACTGCAAAATGTGCTTCTCTTTCTCGTATATATGCATTTGCAGAACAGTCTTGTCTAAAGTGTGCAGAGATATCGGATATGTGGCTTACATATTCATTACATATTTACTGAAGTTTAGAAACTTGCCACGGCCAGTTATGTGTTGATTTTCTTTACGCTCTCAGAAATAAACATAGTAAACCGTCATTGGGGTGGAACCCTCAAGGGTCCATCTCAGTACCTTTAGTCAGGGAACATAACTGAACCATAATCCACTGAAATGATATGTTCTAAGCTGTACTGACTCCACACACCCCGTCTCGTCTCCAGGCTTTTTGTTTCATTGTTCTGTTTTTAAAACATTCGGTTATGAAAAGGTACAAATACAAACTTTTCACCTGGAAACTTATTTAAGATTCACAATCAGATGTGGTGGATGAGGACAAATTGTGCTCACGGTTGGTATTATTGTTTCAGCCCTGTAGAATGTTTTTGAGAAAATTCTATAAAACATTATAACATTATTGTTTAAAAAGCACATTGTCTAACATTTTGCATTTTAATGATTAAAGCATAAAGCGGGGCATGGACTACACAATTTCTAGCCTTACCTGAAACCAGATTTTACCATTATGCCAAACTTTAACAAAGGAAAGTGACTTATTTCCTCTCTCACACCACCAGATCATCCACACTCTGAATCGCTTCTGATGACCTGGTGGTGTGAGAGAGGAAATAAGTCACTTTCCTTTGTTAAAGTCAATCTTTAGCTTTCCTGATTGAGATTTCAAGTGATTAGAGGCCTTCTGATATTTCCAGACATGTCTGATGTTTAGTAATCACATTACAAGATCTGTAGTGTGAGATTGTGAGTGACATTACTGAATGAGTGATTCAGGCAACAGCCAATCGGTGAGCTAGGAAAGAAATAAAAGGCAAAGTATATGTACACCACATGTGGATGGGATCACAAAGATGAGTTCTGGTTGCTGAACACAGGCAAATAAGAGCCTGTATAACATTTATAATGTACAGATTCACATGTTAATTTACTGTGTTTAGAGTTTTACATCACCTGCAATTTGTAGTAAGTTATTTCTTGAGCTCTTGCTGTAGAAAAGAATGTTTCTTTCTCAGCCACATGTTCATCCACAGGATGCGCAATGTTTCTTGTGTGTGCCTAAAATCACAAACTGACCTAGTCCAGTTGGGCTTTCACTGTATAATGTGATAATGAGGTAGATATGGGGTTTTGAGAGCTTGTTTGTAGCTGAAACTTTTGTGTGATTCTGTCTCTTTGCCTTACCATCTAATGTGATTGCCCTCATAAAAACAAGATACAAGACATACAAGATATTCTGAAAAAGACTGTGTGATGCTCTTTGGCTTAGAAATCTGTTAGGATTGTAAAAGTCATATAGTGTACATCCAGTTTACGAATGTGTAGTTAGTTGCAAAAAACATATGGTATATGTATGATCTCCAATATTTACCTGCACAATATGCCAACCAACAGTCAGACGGTTTGACGAACTTATAGACGTAGTAGTTTCCTGGGCAAGCTTTGACTTGAATAGGGTTGGATCTGAAGTTACAGCAGTTGCTGTTCCAGTTACCGCAGATTTGGCGAGTGACCACTCCGTCCTGCAGCTCCGGGTGAGTGCCATTGATCCAGAGGGGGGTGTGAGTGCCACACATGAAAACATCAACACATGACTCTGGCATCCGGACGTCCTGTCCATTATACATGAGCCTGTACCAGCCAACCCACGTAACAGACTGATCACACTTCGCATTTACAGTGTTGGAGTAGTTGGTGGCTCTCCAAGGTTCGTCCAGCACAGTGTAGCTGTAGCACGGGTCAGCACTGCTGGAGACTGAAAACAATTTTAAAAGAGTCACAGAAACAACAGAGATGATCAACTTACTCATTCAGTGTGCTTCGTCATATCCACTGGTGGAGTGAATATCCTGCAGTGGGCTAACTTTCAGTAGACCTTAAATGTATCCTCAAATAACAGTGAGATTTACCAAAAAATGAGTAACTGGTAGCAGAGTGCAGCATCACTCAGCCAAACAGTTAAACTAGTGTCTAAGTTCTGCCTACTACTGTTAAACTGCAGTCATGCAAAGAAATTTCAGTTCATGTTGCCTTGTGAAATAGGTGTGAATACAGCTGGACTGAAAGACTGGTGAAATTAGTCCTGAAAAAAAATTGAACTGAAATTAAGCGTGAATTAAAACAAAAAAACCTGTGTCAGTGGGAGTTTAGGAATGAAAAATATGAAAAAGCAAAAACTCTACAACACCTCATGATCTGCATCTAAGTGTAGGAGCACAAATATTAAGTATTTTGCTAATCAGAATCAAAACATAAAAATTACCAGTCTGGGTCGTTACTTCTGTATCTGCAGAAGAAACAGAGGAAAACAATAAACACAATGCCTAAGAAAAAAAAATGCAACGTGTTTTTCTTACATTATGTTTTCATTTTTAAATAGATTTCTAATCTACTGATGTTGAAAAATACAGTCAATAAATCTGTTATTAAGATTTAAACACATGTTAACACCATTTCCTAAAAACTGTCATGAAAATAAGTGTAAAAGAATTAGGATAAAAAAGGAAGCGGTAATATGTGGGGTCCAAGCACCGTTCGGCTTAGTGAGGTCTAATGGGCCAGACTGGTGTCTTTTCACAGACAGGATATAAATGATAGAGGGTTAGATTTCATTGGAAGTCCTTCATATGTCACGATTAATGAACAAGGGCCTTCAGTGGATATTTTAAAAATTTTGTACATATTGGTGTTTTGACCTTATATCATCATCATCATCATCATCATCATCCTCATCATCCTCATCATCATTAACCACTTAGTCCAGGTAGGGTCGCGGTAGCAGTTGGGAGAGCAGAGAATCCCAGACGACCCTGTCCCCCATAACTTAATCCAGCTCATTCCGGGGGACCCCAGGCTGCTCCCAGTCCAATTTGGAGATACCCCGGGGTCTCGTCCCAGTAGGCCGTGCTTGGCAAAACCCCACTGGGAGGTGTCCAGTGGGCATCCTGATAAGATGCCTGAACCACCTCAGCTGGCTACTCTCAATGCGGAGGGGTAGCGGCTCTACTCCGCGCTCCTCACCCTATCAAGTAGAAGGTAGCCCGCCACCCTGCAAAGAAGGCTCATTTCCACCGCTTGTATTCACGGTCTCATTCTTTCAGGCAGTTCATGACCATAGGTGTAGATCGACCAGTGAACAGACAGCTTTGTCTTGTTGCTTTGCTCCCTCTTCACCACTACAGTCAGGTTCAGTGACCGCATTCCTGCTGCCGCCTGTCCCAGCCTGCGGCCAATCTCACGATCCCTCTTCCCATTACTTGTAAACAAGACCCCGAGATACTTAAACTCCTCCACCTGGGGCAGGTCCTTTCCCCTTTCCTGGAGTGGGCATGCCATCTGGGCTAGGACCATGGACTCAGACTTGGAGGTGCTGATCCGCATGCCAACTGCTTCACACTCAGCTGCAAGCTGCTCCAGTGAGCGCTGGAGGCATCCAAGTGATCCAGCCAAAAGGGCAACATCATCTGCCAAAAGCTGAGATGCCACACTCCGGTCTCCACACATAATGTTGACTGGGTTGGCAAACTCCCATGCCCCCTCAACAATCTTCGAGATGGTGAAAAGCTGGTCCATTGACTGAAAGTCTTCTTCCATGGCCTCGCCGAACTCCTCTCACGCCCTGGATTTTGCTTCCGCCACCGTTGCCGCTGCCGACTTTTTGCCTGTCAGTACCAACTTGCGGAGTCGGGAGTCCTCTGGGCCATCCAGTCCCTAAAGGCCTCTTTCTTCAGCTTCACAGTCTCCCTCTCCACCGGTGTCCACCAGGGGTTACTGGGTTACCTCCCTGACAGGCACCAACAAGCTTTTGGCCACAGCTGTGCCTGGCACCTTCCACAATGGAGGTTTTGAACAGGGTCCATTCCATCCATCTTCCCTACCTCCTCTGGAACATGAGAAAAGCTCTCACGGATGTGGGAGTTAAAATCATTCTGAACAGGGGCCTCTGACAGTCGTTCCCAGCACACCCTCACTATTCACTTGGGCCTACCGGGTCTGACCATCAGTCTTCACTGCCATCTGATCCAACTCACCACCAGATAGTGATCAGTTGACAGCTCAGCACCTTTCTTCACCTGAGTGTCCAGTCCCAAGTCAGATGAAACGACAACAAAGTCCATCATTCACCTTTGACCCAAGGAGCTCTGGTACCATGTACACTTATTAACATCCTTGTGTTCGAACTTGGTGTTTGTTATGGATAATTCATGTTTAGCACAGAAGTCCAATAACAACTCACCACTCGAGTTTAGATTGGGCAGGTCGTTCTTCCAAATCACACCTCTCCAGGTCTCCCAGTCATTGACAACATAAGCATTGAAGTCTCCCAGCAAGACTGTTGAGTCTGTAGGCGGGGCTCTTTCCAAAACCCTGCCCACTTGCTCCAAGAAGGCTGAATACTCTGAACTGTTGTGTGTGCTTAAGTTTTCCTCGCTGAAATTTTAATTCACATTGAGGCGATCTTGTCCACCGGGACAAACTCCAACTGCATGGCAGCCGGCTGGGGACTCGTGAGTATCCCCACACCCGTCCGGCGCCTCTCACCTTGTGCAACTCATGAGTGGGCGAGGGACCAACCCCATCAAAGGGTTTGGTTCCAGAGCCGACACTGTGGGTGGAGGTGAGCCCCACATCTAGTTGGTACCTCTTAACCTCCCGCATGTAGACCCTGCCAGTTTCCGCTGCAGGGGTCTATGCTGTAGGGGTTTATTTGGGCTGAGCCTGGCCGGGTTACATGGGCTGCCCGATCCAGGAAGCGCTTTTGACCTTATATCAAGCTGCAAATTTTGAACAAAAAGGTAAAAATGCCAAACAGGTAGTCCAGTTTCTGACATCACTTACTATTGCAAACATGTTTGAACCACAAAAGTTCTGAAATGTATTCGTTGGAAATAGAAAATAATGGAAATTGGATATTTAATGATTTTTCATCTCATTGTTTGCTATAGTGCCCACTTAAGCCAATCTGGGTTAAGTGTTACATTTCCTCATTCTGAATCTCAGTTTATGTACTAGTGGTTTCATTTGTGAGAAGATGAGACTGTTTTTAGTTTTTGTAATTTAATTTAGAATTGCCACAGTGATTAATGTTTAACACACACAGGCCTTAAGTCATTCAAAAGAGCATTGAGATTATTAGAGTAGTAGCTACAATTTTTTTTTTATTTACAAAAAACAAAAATCTTTACTAATCAGTAGTTATTAATATCTGTTACTAAATGCTTAAATTACATTTTTTTTTTTTTTAGAAAATTAGCTCTATTTAGAAATTCTTTATTATTGAAATGGCAAAACCATAGCTAAAGTAGAACTTACTAGTTCTTAATAACTAATCTTACTCTTGATGAGCCCTTATAAAAAATATGAAGTTATTTTTTTTTTTCGTACATTTTTTGTGTGCGTTTAAGAGCACAAACATGTCTGGTACAGTTTATAGCTTTGTTTTTATCATGAGATGATGCTGTAACACTGAAACCTGTTAGATGTGTGATAATTTCTCTTTGACTTACTGTTCACTGAGCATCATCACAACAAAGATACAAAACATTCTGTGAAAAAGTGATGTTAAGTGTGTGATTCTCTCAGTTTTAGAATCTGTTGGGCTTGTAAAAGTCATACAGTGTACACTCAGCTTAAAAATGTTTAGACAGTTGCAAAAAGTTCATTATGTACATTATCTTAAATAATTACCTGCACAATATGCCAACCAACAGTCAGACGGGCTGACAAACTCATAGACGTAGTAGTTTCCTGGGCAAGCTTTCACTCGAATAGGATTGGATTTGAAGTTACAGCAGTTGCCATTCCAGTTACCGCAGATCTGGCGGGTGACCACTCCGTCCTGCAACTGTGGATGAGCACCATTGATCCAGAGGGGGGCGTGAGTGCCACACATGTAAATATCAACACATGACTCTGGCATCCGGACGTCCTGTCCATTATACATGAGCCTGTACCAGCCAACCCACGAAACAGACTGATCACACTTCGCATTCACAGTGTTGGAGTAGTTGGTGGCTCTCCAAGGTTCGTCCAGCACAGTGTAGTTAAGGCACGGGTCAGCACTGCTGGAAACTGAGATAAAAATCATTTTAAAAAGCGTCACAGAAACAACAGAGATGATCGACTTACTAATTCAGTGTGCTTAGTCATATCCACTGGTGGAGTGACTCCCTTACCCATGATAAAATCGCAGAAACTCACTGCCTCAAGTGGCTTATTGTTTTTATAAAATGACAGCCAACATAAAATATATTAAATACACGATGTTTTAGATACTTATTTGTTATTAATGTTAATCAACATAAACAAGTATTCTGCCAAGAAATGTAGTTCCTTTAGAGTGCGGTATCATTTTTAAGCAATCATTGACCGCTGAATGAGGGGAAGAATGTTCGGTCGCCAATCACTGTAAACTGCAGACATTTCATGATTTTGAACATTTTTCGTATAACAGTGAACATCTGTAACACAGCACTGTTTAATGCAAATACTTTCAGTTTATAAGTACTTTTTGGTCACCAAATTACCACCACGAGTCTTCTGCCAGTCTGACGACGCCACTTTTCTTACACTGGGGCTGAATCTCAAACGGCTCCCTGCTCCCTACACAGTGCACTATGTAGGAATTTAAATACTCCTGCACCCCAGCAATGCAAAATATCATTACACATTGGCCATTTAGGATTCATCCACATTCATACTTGACAGGCAGTCACTATTTGACAGCAGAAGCTAGAATTTCTAAACTTCACATTACACAGCACGCTATTTAGCAAGGGAGTACGGAGCTGTTTGGGATTCAGCCTGGGTTTGATGCTACTTCTGACTGAAACAAGGACATCTGAAGCACGTAAGACATTCAGGTGACATTCTTTAGACTTTTATATTGCCGTTTTTCAGTGAATCTTATCGTGAGTATTTTAATTCAAGCTTGTGATATTAATGTTGGAGTTGTTTAGCGTGTTTGCTATCTTTTAGCCTGTTGGTTAGCTGACCAGCCTAGTTCTAAATAAGAAAATAAGGTTTCGGCCCCTCAGGTTCTTACTTCATCAGTACACTCGGTGCTCCGTGTGATCGACATTAGTAAAAGTTTAATCTGTTAACAGCAGAAGGGATTTTTGTGCCGTGGCGCAGTGATACAGAGTTCAGTTGCTGTGAGGCGTCAGAGCTGTGGTATGTTGTGGATTTTACAAAGGCTAAATATATCCTTAGAAATAACAGTGAGTAACTGGCAGCAGAGTGCAGCATCACTTAGCCAATTGATTTAACTAGTATCTAAGTTCTGTCTATTACTGTTAATCTGCAGTCACACTAGAACAGTTCATTTCACACTGAAACACTGCCTTGTGAAATAGGTGTGAGGACAGCTGGACTACAAGTCTGGCAAAATCATTCTTGAAAAAAAAAATCTAACTGCAGTCAATGTGAATGGGGGAAAAACCTGCGCTAATAGCAGTTCAGGAATGATAATGTGAACAAAGCAAAGTATCAAAATTACCGGTCTGGGTCGTTACTTCTGTACCTGCAGAATAAACAGAGAAAACAGTAAATATTATAATATATTGCATTTGTTACATTATATATAGCTTTACATGAAAAGAATAATTATTTTTGTGTAAGTGTATTTAGAATTAAAAGCATATAGTTTGTAAAAGCAGTGATAATGACTTGGTAAAAACTGAAGATGATTATGAGTTATGATTTGATAGGCCAAACCGGGCATTAAACTTTCCCAAAACAGCAAATTATTGCCTTCACCCTTTATATTAGATAATCTCTAGTCATAATTAAGATGCAGCCCGCAAACATTCAGCTTAATCACATATACAGATGATAAACAGCCGCTTAGCTTTAATAGCACCTTCTGTTGATATACATGTGCTAAAATTGACAAAATTTATCTTTTGAGACCCAATCAAGTTTCATTAGAATCAGACGAAGCTTTTACAAGTTACAGCTGCTTTAGTCATCAGTGCTGTGATCAAGATGGATTGATCAGTCTGTGGCTGTCTTGTTTAGAAATGTCAGTACTGTTTGGATAGCTATTGAGGTTCAAGATTTTGCAAATAAGTTGACACCATAACCATTTTTCATGAGGTTTGGGTGATAAATAAATAAATAGCACAAGTTTGCAAAAGTAGATGTTACAAAAATTCAAAATATCTCTATTTTTAGAGGTAAAAGGTGGGGCATTTTTGGGTTTTTGATGAGTTTTGGTTTAGTATGAGCCAATAAATCAGCGGCACCCAGAATTATGTCTGTATGCCTCATTGTGTAATGGATGAAGGCCAAAACATAAAACAATTGTAGCGCCTCCTTCAGGCCAGTCAGGTTGATCTTGTGTGCCTGAGTGGCAGGAAGGACTATCTATTCACCAGGTTCTATGTCTGAGCACTTTATAGTTTGGTCTGCACAAATAGTTTTAGCTGAGAAAAATAATTTGTGAATCTGAGCAAAAGAAAAGGGACCTTCGGTGCTTGGACCCCTAAGACATGATTTAAAAATGATCATTGAAAAGGACATTGTGTATCCTGCCTAATTTGATATAATATTTGCTAAAAGCTCTGCCATTAAACTAAATAAAAAATAGAGTAAAAACTAGGACATCAAAAACAGAAGAATATACTTGTCAGCGATTGGTAGGTAGATGTTGGTGTTACCACTCCATCATCTTTTAGGCAAAACAAAAACAAAATAAAGACAATTAAAAAATTGTTGAAAAAAATGCCTTGATATTCTTTTGCAATTTAAAATAGCTAAAAACTGAAAGATAATTTAAAAATAGGTTAAGAATTAAAATATAAAAACAGAATAACATACTTGTCAAGGATTGGTAGGTAGGTGTTGGTGTTGCTGCTACTGCAACATCTTTTAGGCAACACAATAAAAACAAAAAAATTAAAACATTGTTGCAAAAGCATTTTGTCTGTGTTCCTGCATTTTTGATAAAACATTAAAGTTGGGTCTACACTGGATGATTTTTAGCCTGATTTTAGTCTTCTGATATTTCCAAATAAAAAGATAAAAGATAAGATAAAAGGCAAAGTGTATTTACACAGCATGTGCAGCGGGTCATGGACTGAGTTCTGGTTGCTGAACTCGGGCAAATAAGAGCCTTTGTTGTACTTATAACATATGAACCCAGACATTAAGTCACTGTTTATAATTCAATGTCTTGTATAGTTTGTAGTAACATATTTCTACAGCTTTAGCTGTTCAATAAAATGCTGGTTTTCTACCACATGTCTTAGCTTTGTTTGTGTGACATGATATTGGGTAGATTTGGGATTTTTAGAGCATTTTTATTGTCCACACTTGTTATGAGTAAGATTCCCTCACATTGCCTTGTAAACTAGTGTGATCACCCTCACAACAGAAGTACAGGACATTCTATAAAAAAATGATGTTAAGTATTTGATTGTACATATACAGTTTATACAGTCGAAAAAAAATACACCACACATATTCTCTTAAATAATTACCTGCACAGTATGCCAAGGAACAGTCAGACGGTTTGACGAACTCATAGACGTAGTAATTTCCTGGGCAAGCTTTCACTCGAATAGGCTTGGATTTGAAGTTACAGCAGTTGCTGCCCCAGTTACCGCAGATCTGGCGGGTGACCACTCCGTCCTGCAGCTGTGGATGAGCACCGTTGATCCAGAGGGGGGCGTGAGTGCCACACATGTTAATATTAACACATGACTCTGGCATCCGGACGCTGTATCCTTTATACATGAGCCTGTACCAGCCAACCCACGAAACAGACTGATCACACTTCACATTCGCAGTGTTGGAGAAGTTGGTGGCTCTCCAAGGTTCATCCAGCACAGTGTAGCTGTAGCACGGGTCAGCACTGCTGGAGACTGTCATGGAAACAGTTTTAAAAGTGTCACAGTAACAACAGAGGTGATTATCCAATTAAGTCATTGTGCCTAGTCGTATTCACTGGTAGAGTATATGTCCTGAAATGAGCTCTCTCTCTTTAGACTTCAACAAATAGATCCTCAGAAATAACTTTAAATTTGCCAAAAAATTAAAAAACTTAGCCAAACAATTAAACTAGTGTCTAATTCTGCCTATCACCGTTAAACCATAGTCACACTAGAACAGTTCATTTCACACTGAAACATTACCTTATGAATTAGGTGTGAGTACAGCTGGATTAAAATACTCGCAAAATCATTCCTGAAACTGAATTTAAGTCAAGGTTGAATTAAAAACTGCCAATGGCGGTGCAGGAATGAAAAATGTAAAAATCCAAAAGTTCTATAAAACCTCATGATGTACATCTGAGCTTAGGAGCAAGAATATGAAGAAGCATTTGTTAATCAGAATCAAAACATAAAAATTACCTGTCTGGGTCATTACTTTCATATCTGCAGAAGAAACAGAGGAAAACAATAAACATGATGACCAAAAATAAATATTATAATGTGGTTTGTTTTGTTACATTAGAAAACTATTTGAATGACAATCCAGCAAGATGGCACCACAAGTGGCAGCCTCAGCACAGCGATCTCCAGTACTTTCTTTATTTTTGTTCATTTTCTGTTTCTTGTTACTCAAACCTGATTAGTTACACCAGGAATGAACTGTTTAACATAAAGCAGTTCACTCTAGATGATCTTTGTTGGAGGAACAGCGGCTCTCTGGGGGAGATGGGGAAAGATGCAGACTGGGGAATCGTGCCGTGTGAAGGTGAAGCTCCAACTGTGTTTCGAACTGTTCTCCCAACGATTCATCTGGCGAAACTCCACTCCTTGCCCAATTAAATGGATGTGCTGCTTCTGCTCAATCGGATGAAGCAGAGCTTTTCATGCTCTGCTGCCCTTTGCTTCACTGAGACCTGGCTCAGCGAATTCCATCCCCAACAGTGAATTCCATTTTCTGGGATTTCGTCTACACCAAGCAGGTTGCATAACAGGGCTTTCAGGGAAAGCAAAGCGTGGTGGAAATTGCTTCTACATTAATGAATGTTGGTGTACAGGTGTCACAGTGCTGAATAAATACTGCATTCCAAACTTAGAGATACTGTTCATGAACTGGAAACCCTTTTATTCACCGCAGGAGATTTTCTTCTTCATCCTGGTTGGTGTTTACATTCCACCCCAGGTCTGCATGAATAACACACTGCACACCCTGGCCAAACAAATATCCGTCCAAGAACAAAAATACACGGCCTCACTCTTCATAGTCCTTGGGGACTTTAGCAGAGCAAAATTAAATTACAAACTTCCAAAATATAGGCAGCATATTAATTGTCACTCTGTTCCCCAGGCAGCTTGGGGTACTCACTTGCTTGGTCCACCTTATTCCAAACTGAAATCTGCAAAGCCTGTAGTAAAACTGTTTTGAATGTACAGATTGGAGTGTTTTTGAAGCTGAAACTGACAACATGGATGAACTAATACTGTGACATCTTACATCGCGTTTTGTGTAGAAATGTGTGTGCCAAGCAAGACCTTCTGCACATACAACAGTAACAAGCCATGGCTCACAACCGATCTAAGAGAGCTTTATCTGGCCAACGCAGATGCAACAGTAGTGGAGATAGGGCTCTGTACAGACAGGCCAAACACTTACTGACAAAGGAGATCAAAGTGGCTAGAAGAAGCTACACTGAAAAGCTGAAAAACAAGTTTTCAGCCAGTGACCCTGCACCAGTGCGGTGAAGCCTTCAAGACATAACAAACTATGGAAGACCACCACCCCGCAAACAAAGACCTGGCTGATGACCTGAATGACTTCTGTTGCAGGTGTGAGAAGGACAAATTCACACCCCTCAATTGCTCCAGCTTAACAACACCAATCACACCTCTGGCAACCCTTCTACCCTACCCCCAAGACACTCAGGCTGCACTTAAGATCTATGAAGTGGATGTGAGTCAGCTTTTCCAGAGACAGAAGACCAGGAAAGCACCAGGTCTAGTTGGTGTTTCCCTCTCTTGTCTTAAAGCCTGTGCTGACCAACTGGCTTCAGTCTTCACATAGATCTTCAACAGATCCCTGGAGCTGTGTGAAGTTCCCCCCTGCTTCACCAATGCTCCACCATCATCCTGGTCCGCAAGAAACCCCCATCACAGGACTGAATGACTACAGGCCTGTTGCTCTGACATTTGTTGTCATGATGTTCTTTGAATGACTGATGCGGGCCCACCTGATGGATGTCACAGGACACCCTGCCGGACCCTCTGCAGTTTGCCTACCAGGCAAACAGGTCAGTGGATGATGCAGTCAACATGGGACTGCAGTACATCCTGCAAAACATTTGACTGCCCAGGGACGTATGCAAGGATGCTGTTTGTGAACTTTAGCTCGGCCTTTAACACCCTTGTCCCAGAAATCCTCTCCTCCAAACTCTCCTAGCTCAATGTATCCTTGGCCATCTGTCAGTGGTTCCCCAGCTTCCTGACAGGCAGGCAGTCCTTACCTCAACAGGCAGGGACTTACCCCAGGAGATGCAGCTGGGTTACTTCTGGTGTATGGACAGTCAGCACAGGTGCTTCTCAAGTATGTATACTCTCCCCACTGCTCTTCTCTTTCTACACCAACAACTGCACCACTAAGGACTCATCTAAGTCCTGAGGTTTACAGATGACACTACGGTCATCAGACCCATCTAGCAGGGCGACGAGTCTGCATATTGGCTGGAGGTTGAACAGCTGGTGCTCTGGTGCAGTCAGAGCAACTTGGAGCTGAACATGCTTAAGACTGTAGAGATGACTGTGGACTTTAGGAGGCACCCCTCAGCACTGCACCCCTCACATTATCCAACAGCCCTGTGTCAACCAAGGTTTGGAGCAGCCACAAAACAGGACAGGAACTGACTGTAACAAACAGTAAAGACAGCTGAAAAAATCATTGGTGCTCCCCTTCCTGCTCTCCAGGACCTGTACTCTTCAAGAACCAGGAGACTGGCAGGAAAGATCATTACAGATTCTTGAACTACTCCCCTCCGGCAGGTGCTACTGAACTCTGTACACTAAGATGCAGTCTGCCTGCAGTCCAGACCTGTTGTCCTAAAAACATTTTGTTCATTATGAAACAAAAAAATGACATTTTTAGAATGTGTTGCTGGCATCAGTTTCAAAATGGGCATGTTTTTTTTAAAAAGAAACTTTCTCAGTTTCAACATTTGATATGTTGTCTATTTTGAATTAAATATAAGGTTTACAGGATTTGCATCACTGCATTCTATTTTTATTTACATTTTGCACAGCGTCCTAGCTTTTTTGGAAATGGGGTTGTATTAGAGAATCTGGTTATAAATAGGTTTAAAGATGCAGCATGACAGTATTCAGCTTGATTGGATGTACAGATGATGAGAGAGCCATTTGGCTTTAATAGTGTCATTTACTGACATACATGTGCCAGAATTCACAGGCTACCTCAGAATCTTTTGAGACACAAGTTTCATTAGAATCAGACAAAGTGCTTGAGTTACAGCTGGTTTAGTCATCAATGCTATGATTCTGACGAATTGGTCAACATGTGGCTGCCTTGTTTACAATTGTCAATATTGTTTGGATAACTATAGAGCTTCAATATTTTGCACATAATTTGATAGAAGTTGTTAGGACTGGAGAATAAATCTAGAACAAGTTTGCAAAAGTAGGTGCCGAAACCCAGGAATTTAGAGAACTGTAGATGCTACAAAGCCTCTCCTTTGGGCTTCCATGACGCCCAGCTTCAGCAGACACAACACCAGGCTCTCCTCGAGATGTGCCAAGTTCAATGAAGTACATTTCAACTTCTAGTGAAGGGGCAAGAGGAGAACTGAAAGGTGGTGAGGAGCCTGCTTCAGAACACCCATCCACCACCTGAGAACATAATTTCCCTCGTGAAGATGACGCCTCTGAACAATCCTGAAGCATTTATCAAACTCTTTGAGAAGACCATCCAATGGGATGAGAAGGACTGAGAGGTCCACTTAATACTCCTTCTTACCAAGGAAGCACAACATGCCTCCCAACAGCTTCCACTCAAGTCACAGCTGAACTACACAGAGCTGAAGAATGGCATTCTTCAGCAGATCACTCAGACTTCTGTTAGAAGACTGAGGCTCTGTGGTTGTGATTGATCTGGTGGTTTAGGAGCAATTTGTTGTGCCTCTGCCAGATGAAACAGCCACATGGGTCCAGTGCCACCAACTAGAGTCCCTGGATAAGACCATCCCAATGGCGGAAGCTCACTTGGAGGCATGTGCAGGGGCAGGAACAACCCCGCAGAAGCCTTCCACACAACCAGTTCATCAGTTGGCCATCATATGCTTCTCTTTTCGTTGTCCTCTCTCTCCAAACAGGTGGCACTGGCTGAGCCCATGGGGCCTGGGGTAAAGCCTGGGCAGATGTGCTGGTGATGTGGGGAGCCGGGTAATTTCCGGGATCAGTGCCCTTCAATGAAGGTGGGGACACTTGTCCACTGGTCAACAGAGACTCGCCAATCACCTACTCCTTCTCAGGTGCCAAGGTAGATGACATTACGCAGCAGTTTCCTAGCCTCCCCGCTAAGCATTCAGACATCCAAAAAGTCATTCTTCATGTAGGCTGTAACAGCATCAAAGACAAAAAACTGAATTCTTGTAGAAAGACGTCACACAGCTGTTTGACGGACTCAAAAACTGTGGCAAAAAGATTTGTATCTCTTGCTCAGTCTCCTCCTTGGGAAGAGGCATGGGAAATTTTAGCCACTTCTTAAACCTCCACAGTTGGCTTTTTTTTTGGGGGGGGGGATTTTTTTATCGACAATTTTAATCTATTCTGGAATTGTCTTGTCCTTTTATAGGAGCGACAGGATTCATCCCAGCAGGCTTGGCTCACAGATTCTACAATGTGTTTTACTCTGTTCTTAACCTGAAATGAGTACCTGAAATTAGAAATGAGTACTTAGCTATCCCTGTAATCATTAGCACTCAACCTAGGATCAGCTACTCAAGTAGGGGAATAAAGCAGAAAGGTAACCTTTCTATTAATCCAGCTAATCCCTATCAGCATTAAGCCATTCTGGTCATCCCTCCGCCCCCAAACTGTCTCACAGACCCTATGAGACCCTCTCTTGCGTGCTCCTTATAAAAATGTTAGAATTCGAGACGGATCAAATCTCTGAGATCTATGTTCAGGCAGCTAAGGAATAAATGTACCTCCTACATCAGAAAAGCTTTGAATTTAGCTTTAAATTCTTTCAAATTGTGGAAGTCAGCTTCTTAAAGAACAAATAAATTCCTATTTCAACTTGTATTTTAAGTAATGATCAACAGATTTCTGATCAAGCATTTAATACTCATTTTGCAGATGCTGGACATTTATTTGATAATACTAATACAGAAGTGTCTCTCAGTGAAATAGATACACCCTCTGCTGTAAGACATGTTCTCTTTACAATTCATCCCTTCTCTACTCGCTTAGTAGTCAAAGCCCTTAACACCATCAACACTAAAAAAGTACAGGTGAGGATAGTTTGGACGATTTTTTCTGAGGCTTGCAACCCCGATTATTTTAGAACACATATATATATATATATATATATATATATATATATATATATATATATATATATATATATATATATATATATATTATATTTTTAAAGAATCTGTTTTATCATGCGGAATTCCCAGCATCTGGAAAACAGCAAATGTAATTCCACTTCACTAAGGATGTGATGTTTCAGATCTTAAATTCAAGCCCATCTCAAAACTGTAATGCTTAACCAAAATCTTAGAATCCTTAGTGAATGACCAACTCAAGACATTTGAAAAACTGCAGCGTTTTTTATTGCCCTACAGTCGCTTTTTACAATCATAAACTAGTCTAAAGTGTTGAGAAAACTAATTTTCTGCTGCTTTCCAGAGTCTCTAACATTGATTTTTACACTTTCAAAATCACAGCCCTGAAAGGATCTGACATTGAAAGAATTAGTGAGTACAAATACCTTGGCATATGGCTAGACAACAAGTGCACTTTTAAATACCATGTTAACAAGCTTACATGGAAACTGAGACAAAAACTTGGCTCCCTGTATGGAAACAAAGTATGTTTCCTGAACCACACAAGGAAAAAGATTGTTGAAGCAACACTATTGTCTAGCCTGGATTATGGTGATGTGATATACAGATATTCATCTGCAACTACTCTAAAATCACTAGACTCTGTACTTATCTCTGCTTTAAAATTCCTTACTAGTGACCCATACAGTGTCCATCACTGTGTACTGTATGAAGAGGTTGGCTGGTCGTTTCTGGCTATGTGTCAGGAGACATATTGGCCTATTTTTATCTGTCACTCGCTTACTGCCCAAATGCCATCGTACATCACAGAAATGCTCAGTGTAAATAAAGCATGTTACCAGACTCGTTCCAGTGGCTGGATCACCCTTCAGGTGCCAAGAACTTTTACTGAACTGTGAAAATCTGCTTTTAGCTGCAGCACCAGTGGCTGGAATTCACTACAGGAAACCCTAAAGCTTCGCTCACTGGTGTCACATTAACATTTTAAACTTCTAGTCTCTAACCACCTCCACTCAGCCTGACACTGTTTTATTTGATTTTACTTAACTTTTAATGATTTTTGTATGTTTTAGCTGTTGTTTCACTTTTATTATTTCTTTCTGGCTTTGTTCAGAGCTAGTCTTAAAACCCACCTTTTCCAGCTGGCTTTTGGGTGAACCAGAATTGTGATTTTTTTTTAATTATGTGTATTGTTTTTTCCTGTTTGTACATGTTAACTTTTTTTTTATCTTTATTGTGCAGTGCCCTTGGGTGTCTTGAAAGGCGCTTATCAAATAAAATGTTGTTGTTGTTATTATTATCATCATCATTATTATTATTATTATTATTAAAGTTTTCATTTATAAAGTATTTTAGAAATATTAATGTTATTTATGAATTGTTAAATAGTATATTAATAAAGTATTAAGTTACTTTATAGTTGCAGTTTTAATGGTTTATTGATTTTAATTAATTGATTTTATTCTATTAATATCAAAATATCAAATATTGAAACTGAGAAATTTTAATGTTTTTTGAAAAATGTATGTCCATTTTGAATTTGGTGCCAGCAACATGTTCCAAAAAAGTTGGGACGGGGGCATGTTGACCACTAAGCTGCATCACCTTTTCCTTGAACAGCACTCTGTAAGTGTTTGGGAACTGAGGAGACACTGCTGTAGTTTAGAAAGTGAAATGTTTTCTGTTCTCACTTGATATAGGATTTCAGCTGCTCAACAGTTCAGGGTCTCCTTTGTCGTATTTTTCATTTCATAATGCGCCAAATGTTTGGCAGGCAGGCCAGTTTAGCACCCGGACTCTTACTATAGAGCCATGATGTAGTAATACGTGCAGAATGTGGTTTTACATTGTCTTGCTGAAATAAGCAGGGTCTCCCTTTAAAAAGACGTCGTCTGGATGGCAGCATATGTTGCCAAAACCTGTATATATGGTTCAGCATTAATGGTGCTTTCACAGATGTGCATGTCACTCATGCCATGTGCACAAATACACCCCCATACCATCACGGATGCTGGCTTTTGAACTGTGTGCTGATGACAAGCCTGATGGTCTTTAGCCTGGAGGACGCAGGGTCCGTGATTTCCAAAAATAATTTCAAATTTTGATTCGTCGGATCACAGAATACTTTTCCACTTTGCCTTGGCCTATTTTAAATGAGCTAAAGGCCAGAGAAGGTGGTGGCGTTTCTGGATCCTGTTTAAATATGATTTGTTCTTTGTATGGTAATTTGCATTTGTGGATGCAGTGATGAACTGTGTTCAAAGACAGTAGTTTACATAAGTGTTCCTGAGCCCATGCAGTGATTTCCACTACAGAATCATTTCTGTTTTTAATGCAGTGCTGTCTGAGGGCCCAAAGATCACAGCCAGCCAGTATTGGTTTTCAGCCTTTTCCTTTACATACAGAGATTTCAAGTTCTTTGCTGTTTTATGCTGAGAAAAGTTATTCTTGAATTGTTGCACTATTTGCCCACACAGTGTTTCACAGAGTGGTGAACCCCTCCCCATCTTTAGACTCCGCCTCTCTGAGATGCTTTTTTTTTACGCAGTGATGTTACTGAACTGTTGCCAGTTAACCTTCAGGTGTTTTTTAGCATTACATACCTTTACCAGTCTTTTGTTGCCCCTGTCCAAACTTTTTTGAAACATGTTGCTGACATGAAATTCAAAATGTGCATACATTTTTCAAAAAACAATAAAATTTCTCAATTTCATCATGTGATGTGTTGCCTTTGTACATTTTCAAATAAATATATGGTTGAAATGATTTGCACATCACTGTATTATGTTTTCATTTACGTTTTGTACAGTGTCCCAACTTTTTTGGAAATGGGGTTGTATTTATAATGTACAGATCCAGACGTTAAGTCACTGTCTTTACAATTTCATGTTTGGTGCTGTTTGTAGTAAAACATTTCTTCAGCTTTCACTGTAGAACAAACATCTGCATTTTCTACCACATATTCACCTGTAGTTTGAGTTTTTACAACGTGTCTTGTGTGCATTCAAAAGCACAACCATGTCTGGCACAGTTTAGCTTTGTTTGTAGCATGTGATGACAGTGTAGTTTTGGGGGTTTTGAGTGTTTTCATAGTTGAAACTTTCTATATGTGTGATACTCTCTCCTTGCCTTATCATCCAGTGTGAGCACCCTCACAACAAAAATACAAAACATTCTGTAAAACGCCGACGTTAAGTGTGTGATATTTTTCCAGGGTCAAAATCTGGATTGTAAAAGTCAGAGTACACCCAGTTTAAGAATTTTTATACCGTTTCAAACAAAATATTGTATATGTATTATCTCAAATAATTACCTGCACAATACGCCAACCTGCAGTGAGACGGTTTGACAAACTCATAGACATAGTAGTTTCCTGGGCAAGCTTTCACTCGAATAGGGTTGGATCTGAAGTTACAGCAGTCGCTATCCCAGTTACCACAGATTTGGCGGGTGACCACTCCGTCCTGCAGCTGTGGATGAGTTCCATTGATCCAGAGGGGGGCGTGAGTGCCACACATGTTAATATTAACACATGACTCTGGCATCCGGACGCTGTATCCTTTATACATGAGTCTGTACCAGCCAACCCACGAAACAGACTGATCACACTTCGCATTCACAGTGTCTGAGTAGTTGGTGGCTCTCCAAGGTTCGTCCAGCACAGTGTAGCTGTAGCACGGGTCAGCACTGTTGGAGACTGTCATGGAAACAGTTTAAAAAGAGTCACAGAAACAACGGAGATGATCAACATATGAAGTCAGTGTGCTTAGTCATATCTACTCATGAGTATATGAGTATTTGAGTATATGAGTATATGTCCTGCATATCTCTCTCATTAGACCTCAACAAATATCCCCAGAAATTACATAATTTTCTGTCAAATATCCATTTTTAACAAACTACAAGTGTCTAATAAAAATGGTTTTGTGAGACAAGTTCCAACAGATGATGTTACAACCAAAAAAGGTTCATTTATGGCACTGTGCTAGTGTCATATCAGTGTAAAAAATAATGTGAATGCATGCTGTGTTAATCATTAACAATAATTAATAATCAATAATTCATTAATAGCTGACAACTGAATGAAGAATGATTAGAAGAACTGTTTGAAAGTGTAATTATGAGTTTCAGATGTCTGTAGCACTCGCCCAGGGTATTTAAAACCAAGTCAAGTGAGCTGAAGGCTGAAAACTACCTGAAAAAATCATTCATCAGCTTTTAACAATGTTATTCAAACACAAGTTCATAAAGTCATCCATGTGATTATTGAGTTTATTAAAGATGGAACTTAGAAATGTTTACAAGTTACTTAAACAATAAATAGTGTGCAAATAATAAAAATGCATTTCAAACATATTAACCAATGAATTTGCAATACCATTCTTATTCATCAATGCCAAAATGTTATACAAGTTTTAAAAATGATATGGAAATAGCTTTCAAAGATCTAGCTATGTTTAGAAGTTCTTTATTAATGTACTTGCCACATCATAATTAAAGTAGTGCTTATTCATTCTTAATAGCTGCTGTCTTACCCTTATTGAGTGCTTATAAATTATAGTTCCAGGTTATAACCTGTTAAACATGGACAGTAGCATCCAGACCTTTTCAGCAAAATACAATACGGCAATTTAACTAAACATTGTTATTGTAAATTGTATTGTAAGTTACTGTAAAATTACACTTTCCAGTTGTCCAACTTCTATGCTTGGACCCCTAATAAATGATTTCAAAATGATCATTAAAATATCACACAATGTCCATCCTTTTGCAGTTTAAAAATTTAAGATAAAAAAATTAATTATCAAAAATAGAAAAACTTACTTGTCAGGGGTTGGTATGTAGGTGTTGGTGCTGCTACTCTAACATCTTTTAGGCAAGACAAAAAAACAATAAAAACATTATTGTTGAAGAAGCATTTAAATGAATAAAGATTAAAGATGGGCCTACACTACTATACACTAATATGTATGTGTGTGTTGCTTTTAACCCTGATTTGCCCAACAAATGTTTACAATCTGAATTGATTTTCCTGGTAAAAACTTCATCAGAAGTGATTGATAGTGTGGATGATCTGATGGTGAGAGAGGAAACGACTCAGTCTTTGGCTTTTCCAATCAAAATCTCAAGAGTTTAGGAGCTTTCTGATATTTCCAAATATTTTTATGATGTTTACCATGAAAATGTAAAAATGTAATGTAACTGAATGAGTGATTTAGGCAGCGGCCAGTCAGAGAGCTAGGAGAGAGATAAAAGGTAAAGTGTGTGTACACAGCATGTGTAGCGTATCACAAAGGTGACTTCTGGTTGCTGAACACAGGCAAATAAGAGCCTTTATAATGTTTATAATGTGTATAATGTACCTCTAAATCTTTAATGTCTGGATCGGTACATATTTGTAGTAAAATATTTGTTCAGCTTTCACTGTAGGATAAAATGCTGTCTGCATTTTTCAACCACATATTTATCCGCAGTTTGAGCTTAAAAGCACAAACGTGTCCGGGACAGTTTAGCTTTGTTTGAATCACTTGATAACGGTAGATTTGGAGTTCTGAGATCTTGTATGCAGCTGAAACTTGTGTGTGATTCCCTCTCATTGCATTATTGTCTAGTGTAAGCACTCCATAACAAAAATACAAGATTTTCTGAAAAGGACTGATGTTGAATGTGTGATTCTCTCTGTTTTAGAATCTGCTGTGATTGTAAAAGTTGTACAGTGTACACCCAGCTTACGAATATTTATACAGTTGCACACAAAATATTGTATGTGTATGATCTCCAATATTTACCTGCACAGTATGCCAACGAACAGCCAGACGGGCTGACAAACTCATAGACGTAGTAGTTTCCTGGGCAAGCTTTCACTCGAATAGGGTTGGATTTGAAGTTACAGCAGTCGCTATTCCAGTTACCACAGATTTGGCGGGTGACCACTCCGTCCTGCAGCTGTGGATGAGCACCGTTGATCCAGAGGGGGGCGTGAGTGCCACACATGTTAATATTAACACATGACTCTGGCATCCGGACGCTGTATCCTTTATACATGAGCCTGTACCAGCCAACCCACGAAACAGACTGATCACACTTCGCATTCACAGTGTTGGAGTAGTTGGTGGCTCTCCAAGGTTCGTCCAGAACAGTGTAGCTGTAGCACGGGTCAGTACTGTTGGAAACTGTCATGGAAACAGTTTAAAAAATTGTCACAGAAACAACGGAGATGATTATCCAATTAAGTCAGTGTGTTTAGTCATATCTACTGATAGAGTAAATTACAGCAATAGACTCCCTCTCATTAGACCTTTAATAGATCACCAGAAATAACAGTGAACAAAAAGCATGTAATTGGCAGCATCACTTAGCTAAACAGTTAACCAAGTATTTAAGTTCTGCCTATTACTGTTAAATTGCAGTTACACTAAAAAATTTGAATTCATGTTGTGAAATAAGTAGAGCTGGACTGGAAGACTGGCAAACTTGGCTCTGAAAAAAAAAAAAACTGACGTTTTTGTTGTAGGGTGAGTTTAAAAATATTGTGCCACTGGCAGGTCATATGTGAAAAATATAAAAAGTAAACCTTCTTAAACCTCATGATCTGCATCCATAAGTAGGAGAGAATATAAACAAGCATTTGCTACTCAGAATCACAGCAGGATCGCTTGGTCTGCAAGAATACTTCTATCAGAAAATGTTGAAATATGTGAATCTGAGCAAAAACAAACCTTCTGTGCTTGGACTCCTAATAAAGGAGTAAGTGAGTGTACTTAGTCATACCCATGTGGAAAAAAAACATATATATTCCAAATTATTTATCAGTTATATTTTTGCAATGCATGAAAATGGCCAAAAATGTATTTGTTACATGTATTTTTTAAAATGCATTTATGTGTGTTTGTTATTATATGATAAGATATACCTAAATGCACATGAACTGAGTGAACGGTACTGACTTCAGTGTTCTGCATTGCAGTTTGCATTAACCATGTACTTAAGATAATGCTCACAAAATGTATTTTAAATGAACAAGATATCAAATCATAACTGCATTTTTACAGAGCATCAGTACCTACAACACTTGCTTTTGTCATGTTGAATGTTCATTTGCTAATATTTAAAATTAAGATACTGAATACAAATTCATTTCAAAAGGTATTTTGGTATTTGATAAATACATTTACATACATTTTATTTTTGTACGGTAAATGTCTATGTGTAAATGTATTTTAAACTATATTTGGTTAATATGGCGATATATTGTGAAATAAGCTCCCTGAACAAAAAATTTGTCACCTTGCGTGCACGAGGATGGTCGAGCTATAAATACCTGTGGGTGTGTAAGAGGATTCATAGATTGAGAAAAGGTGGTAGAGTGCTGTGAATGTCTCATTCGATGTGTGGAAAATGGGTCACAAAGCAGATGTTAATGATTGTCAAAAAGGAGTGATTGCATTTGGGCACCAAAGGCCACAGTGTGAAGGAAATAGCTGAACCCGCAGGTGTATCGAAGCGTACGGTCATACGGGTCGACCAGCAGTGGAGAAAATCACAGCCTATAGGAAATTCTCATCAGAATTGTGGCCGAAAGACGGAACTGACGGACAGGGACCGCTGGCATGATTCACGGCGTGTGAATAAAAATTACTTCACTTCCAGGCAAGAATTACTTCTAAAAGTCAAGGCAGGTTCTTCACAACCAAATTCTGAAAGAACTCTCTGCAGGGAACTGCACACCATGAACATATGGAGCAGAGTGGCACACAGGAGGCCTTCGCTCACTTCTGCTCACAGAGTTGCTGGTTACAGTGGGTGAAGAGACACAAAACTGGACTGTTCATAACTGGAAATGTGTTATGTGGTTAGATGAATCTCATTTCTGCCTGTGTGTGAATGATGTTCGGCGTTGTGCTCATCGTAGAGCTCAGGAAGCCTTCAGTGAGGACTGCGTACAAAGTGCGGCTCAAGCTGGAGGAGCTCTGTGATGTTCTGGGGGTGTTTTAATTATGTGGAAATGGGTCATTTGGTTGAGGTGACAGTACATTTGAACCACAGTGCTGACATTGAGCTGCTGGACAACCAGGTTTGCCTTTTGCTTATCATCTTACAGATGACGATTCTCGTGTTCACAGGGCTGTATGATGAACATTCAGGAGCGTTCACACATCTGGACCAGCCCACAAAATCCCCAGATTTGAATCCTCTTGAAAATCTGTGGGACTAACTGAAACAGTGAGTAAGACACCAGGGAAGGCTCCACGAAATCTGGCCAAACTGCGCAGTTCTTTGATGAGAATGGCTGAACATTGTTGCCTACATCCAGAAACTTGTCCAGGCCCAATTGAATTGCAGCTCGTGGAGGTATTACATGCTGTTATTTACGTTTCAGTCTCAGGTGACTATCGCCCAGTGAGCTTACATTTTAGTGTTTGGACTGTATTTTGGCATGGATTGCAGTGTATTTTAAATGTATTTCAATTATGTAAAAACTATAAAAATGCATGTCCATATTTTTTTTTTCCATATGGGTATTCACTGGTGTAGCATATATAACAAAACTGTGTACGAATCAGAGATCACAGGTTTCACGTAACCCTGAACCAACATTGCAGCCCCCTTCAATATGAAGCATTCTTTCATTTGTGACAAACACAAAATGTTTACCTCAGTGATGTCCAGATAACTTAAACAGCTGAGATGTAAGTTATGTGGGGGATAGAACATTAGAACCCCGTAATTATCACTTTTGGGTTGTAACTAAAGTAGGGTAGTGTGATCAGCTGCCAGTCTGATCAGCCAGACTTGGCACTCTTGTGGAACTGAAACAGCAAAGCTGGTGTGTAAAGCAGCTCTTTAGGTAGAAGTTTGAAGGGAAGTGTGTTTTGAGTAAATAAACTTTAGCATTTGTTTGTTTATTTCACCAGAGGAATACACTCAAGAAATACTTCTCTCTTTTGACCTCCCTGTTTTTACTGAAACAAGCATAGACAAATCTAGGAAAGAAAACCTTTAATTTGCAATATTATACAAATATATATTTATGATATTCTTCTCGTCTACATGGTTTTATATTGTGCAGCATGTCATGATGACATGATCTGGATGTAGGTCATGTTAGCTGTTAGCTACTTGCATCCTGTTTTATAAACTCTGTTAACCTGGTCCCAGGTAAAACAAGCATTCACTTGTTTCCTACTTCCTCATCTCCATTCATGTTACACTCACCATGTCCCACAGTGTCTTGAGATCAGGCTGTACTGTATTGCTGCTAACACTAAAAACTGAAAACCTGACAATGGCTACTAAGTAGTGATTGAATGGCTATTAAAAAGGGGTGATCAAATATGCAGGACTTATTAATAAAAAAAAAGCTGAACATTTGGGCATCATTTTAAACAAAAGTGTTATTTGACCATTTGATAAGGGAGACCATTATAGACATTAAAGAGCAAAGGTGCAGGTGCACAAACCCCTGTAGCCACCCCCATTCTACATATATGTTGGAAAAAAGTTGGGACAGAAGCTTGTTTACCCATGTGTTACCTCATCTTTCCTTTAAACAGCACGTAATAATAATTTGAGGACTGATGACACAAACAGATCCAGTCGAGAAAGTGGAATTTTTTGCCATTCTTCTGTTATCAAAGGCTTCAAAGACAAAGACAGAGAAAGGCAGCATCTGTTGCTACAAAATGAGTTCACCTTCACAGATAAGCAGGTTACCAAGTAATACCCCCCCACCCACCCCAAGGGTAATTGCGTCACCTGTTTAAGATTTCACCATGTTTCTAATCTTGAATTGCTCCTGTCCCAAGTTGATAAGTTAAAACACAACATCTACATCTTGTCTTTGTACTGATTTTCTTCAAATATAAGTCAGAGTATTTGCATTTTCCCTACTGTCCCAACTTTTTTGGAATTAGTCATAAAGGACTCTGGCAAAGTATGTTGTTTCTACTCAATAACTTGACAGTGCACTTCAATACCTCGAACATGATGCAATCGACACAATTTAGAAGCAGGAAAGAAAGTGTTCTGTTTTCACAGCTAAACAAAATATTTGGAAATCAGATCCAAACCATGAAAATTACCAGTCAGGGTTTTTACATTTCCACCTGCAGAAGAAAAAAATGGGAAAAATAAATATGATGACAAAAAATAAATACCACAGTGCATTTTTGTCACATCAAATACCTTTTTAAAAACACAGCCATTGTATGATTAAGATTTAACTTTGTTATACTTCTTACTTATTTTTCTTCTTTTTATTAAAATTACTAGTACGTTATATGTTGTGTTACCTTATTGTAATACTTCATATAATACTGCAATTACTTGTTCTTATTTAAATTTTCTATCCACCTTATTCCTGCGCCCAGTGATGCCAATTGAGTGACTTATGAACAGAACTTCCAGTGAAGCATAAACAGACAATTTGTTAAATTCTTATATTATCCTTACATGGAAGACATGTGGGAATAAATAAAAATGTGAATATTTATTATTGTTGGGATGATTGTCTGCTGATGCTTGTTATCAATCTGTCAACACAAACCTGAATCTTTGTGAGAGAAGTGATTTAGCAGAGGATTCAAGCATTATTAGCTATAGTCAAATTACTTACATACTTTTTATGCCAGAATAAGTCAGCATCAAGCTAGCAGGGTTAGCTCAGTGCTATCTTGGCTATAAACCTGAGCTATTTGGACATTTTAAGCCTGTAACAGGCATGAAAGTAACATTCTTTATTTTGTATGTTTCAGTTTTCAAGTAACTCTTTAAGATCTTGAAGTCTGTCTATTGTTAGCCTATTTTGTGGTTAGCTTCCTGTTACCTGCTCAGCCTGTAGTGAGCGCAGAATAAATCTGGTTATAGTTGACCTGATTTAATCTTAACTAGGCTGTACTGACAGTCACACATTGCATGTTGTTCCAGAAATGCCTCAGAGAAATTTAGTGGGACAAAACAGTAACTAATATAATGAATGATGCTTCTGTTCCCCAACCGAAAATTCAGCCACGATATCAAAACACAGCTGACATGTGAAAAATAAGGTGGATAACCATTTCTTGCTAAGCATATGCCAAAAATTAAGGGGCACCGCTGCTACAGACCATTTGCACTGGTGGAAGTGGCCAATTTAGCAGGTTATCTAGAACTTTCATGTGAATTAACAAATCTGTAAAAAATGCTACCAATATATATATAACCAGTGCAGTATAAACTTCCTGTATTGCTCACGACCTTTTGTATAAAAGTGCATTTCCACCAGGTAAGGAGAAAAAAAAATCATAATTTTACTTTTTTAAAGATCATCATCTGAAATAGCCCAAATGTTTCTGTTATCTTCATCTAGTAAATGGAACATTTATTTTAACCTAATAGAAAACACTTACTTAGGAAAATGAAAAGATGTGATGATTAAGAAGGGCATCTGTAGCTGATGGGCAGTCATGATGCCTGAATGTCCAAGATGTTGAAACCTACAAAAGAAATTTACTTTAAAAAAAATTCATTACATTATGTACCAACATATGATTGAATTAGTATATTGTGTAGCTCCATATTTGACTACCCTATAGAGCTGGAAATATTGAGTCAGTTTGACAGGATTATGGTTTGTGAAGCATGAAAAAGAAAGTGGACTTTGGGAAGATACAGTCAAAAAAGATAGGATGTCCAGAGGGAAGGGCAGTCCAGCAAAGAGGTCCAGGGTGGGAGCAGAGGCTGGACCAGAAATGGGGACTGGGGCTGAACCAAGATCAGGAAGTGGGACAGGGCCTGGGTCAGGGTGAGGGCCTGCTGAGCAGGTGATTGGGAGGCTGACTGAGGAGTGATCCATAAGGTTGGTACAGATGCTGCCTAGAAGGCCAGCACCGGAGCTGCATGAGAGGCTGTCGACTGAGCAGGGCAAGGTCCTCAGGTGCAGACAGGCTGCTGGCAGTGCAGCTGTGATGTCCTCGGCAGCTGGTGTGGCAGCAAGCTCTACAAATTCTGTATCATCGACCATCTTAAGTCATCGAGTCTGTGGTTGACACAAGATTAGTGGAAACAGTGGAAATATATTCTCTGGAGTGATGAATCACACTTCAGTATCTGGCCGTCTGATGGATGAATGCCAGACATGCTTACCGGAATGCCAGGAGAACACCCACTGGAATGCATGGTGCCCCAACAGTAAAGTTTGGTGGAGGAGGGATAATGAGTTTTGGGCTGTTTTGGTCACAACGAATATCCACATCCATACTCTCAGCTAACTTTATTTGGACACTGATAAGGGGAGAAAAAGAGCTGATTTCAAAAGAACTAGAGCAAGAAGAAATTTGGCTTCCACCTCCTCCTTTCCATATAGTGGAAGAACAGGGTGAAGCTCTATTTACTAGAACACTTTGATACGTTATAATCCATGGAAAACAAAACAGAAAATGGCACAAGGCCCACAGAAAAAAAGCTCAGCTTATATAAAAATTCTGCACGTACCTGTCAGGGCCACACCAACACTCTCTAGCCTTTGTCCAAGCCAACTGTAAGAACAGAAAAAAGGTTTTAACTCTGCCTCTTTTAATACAAGACATGTTCTGCCAGGAAATGGTAGATTTCAGGGGAAATCACTGAAATTTCTGAAGACACAAGACAGGATATTCAGGAGTTGGTTCAGCATGCAGAGAACGAAAGGTTACTGTCACCACTTCATGCCCCGGTTCTCAGAAAGAGCAGCGGCTTTGCATGTTATAAAGGAAAAAAAGAGCAACGTGGGCATGGACTCAGGACTGTCCATGTGCATTTGATGATATTAAAACGTCTTTGCTGCATCTTTGCCCCGCAACTTCCTCCAGCTCATTTCATGGGACCCCAAGCTGCTCCCAGGCCAACTAGGAGATATAATCCCTCTAGCGAGTCCTAGGACAACCCCGGGGTCTCATCCCAGTAATCCGTGCCTGGTAAACCCCCACCGGGAGGCATCAGGATGCCCACTGGAGTCCAACACTAACACTGAATGAGCTTGACTTAATACTTAGTGCACGCACACAACGCTCATTCCGGGAGTACAGAGATTGAATGTGTCGGAGTGGTAGCCCTGGCACCCCATACACCTGGAGGACCTCCCACAGGATATCACTGGGAACATGACTGTAAGCCTTCTCTAAGTCCACGAAACACATGTAGACAATCTGCAAGAGGGTGAAAAGCTGGTCCATTGTTCCACAGCCGGGACAGATTCCGCATTGTTGCTCCTCACTCTGAGGTTTGGCTATCGGTCGGAGTGTCCTTTCCAGCACCTTGGCATAAGCTTTCCCAGAGAGGCTGAGCAATGTGATACCCCGGTGTGATACTTACCTATATTACAGACGCATGTGGAATATGGAGACTGACATGGAGACCTGGAGTAACATGGTGAAGTCCACTCTATGCAGGCTCTCCACTGCTGCGCTCCCTTCACTGGCTTCCTGTAGCTGCATCAGATTTAAAACCCTGATGCCTACAAAGCCAAAAACGGACCAGCTCCTCCCTCCCTGATGGCAGTGGTCAAAACTTGAACTGTACCTCAAGCCCTTCGAGGTTGAAGTACAGCTCAGTCCGAACAGCAGACTCTCTTGCAGTCTTCAAACGCAGACTGAAGACCATGTCTTTTTACAGCACTTAAGTGAGCACTAAGTTAAATACAATACTTTAAGTACAATACTTGAAATGTATTGTACTGCACTTATTAAAATGTATTGCACTATGTTTAATTCTGTTCCTTTTTCTCAGCATGGGCTTTTCTTTCTAGCAATATCTGAACGTTGCTCTGGATAAGGGCATCTGCTAAATGCTATAAATATAAATGTGTCCCACAAGGCTTGGTGCTGGGTCCTCTTCTCTTTTCACTCTTCACTTACTCTCTTAGTGATGTAATTTCCTCTCATGGTTTCTCTTACCACTGCTGTGCTGATGGTACCCAATTAATGCTTTCTTTCCCACCTTCTGATACTCAGGTTTCCAGTCACATCTCAGCATGTCTGATTAACATTGCTTCATGGATGGCAGCTCAGCACCTGAAGCTCCATCCAAAACTGAGCTGCTGTTCATCCCAGGAACTACAGGTCCTCACCTAGATCTTGCCATCTCATTCAAAACTCCTCTGTCATTCTGTCTGAAGAGGCAAGAAGCCGTAATGTGATTCTGGATGACCAGTTATCGTTCTCGGCTTATATTGTGAACCTGACTTAGTCAAGCTGGTTTCTCCTCAACAACATCCAGAGGATTTGGCCATTTCTGTCTCAGGAGGTCACCTAGGTGTAGTTCAGTCATAATCAGAATCACTTTATTTTGCGAAGTATGTTGCACATACCAGAAATTTGCAGTGCACAACTTCTGTACAACTGATAAGAATTATGTTACAGAGGAGTTACTGTATTACAGTAAGGAGGTTGCTGGTTTAGTTGAAGTTTAAAGTGTGAGGTGTCCACTGTGGATAATGAGCATGGTAGCTCTGGGGAAAAAGCTGTTGGCATGTCTGGTTGGGCTGGTTTGCCTAAGTCAAGGCTTGACTACGGCAACTCGTTCCTGGCTGGTCTTCCTATGCAGGCCATCAGACCCTTGCAGCTCTTTCAGAATGCATCAGCATGGCTTGCCTTTAGTTCACTCATGTCACTCCACTGCTATGTTCCCTTCACTGGCTTCCTGTAGCTGCATCAGATTTAAAATACTGATGCATGCCTATAAAGCCAAAAGCTTTTCTAGCAGAGCCTAGGTGGTGGAATGAACTTCCACTGGCTGTTCAAACAGCAGAGTCCCTCGCAGTCTTCAAACTCAGACTGAAGACCATCTCTTCATAAGGTTCTTAAGTGAGCACTAAAGTAAGTAGCTATTGAAATGCATTATATTGCACTTATATTCAACTGCATCTTTCTTTCTAGGTATTAATACTGGCTTTTGTTTCTAGTAGTGTCTGAGCTGAAGGGTAGATTTGGGCTCTAACCTGTTTGAACTAGGAAACCTATCAAGACGTCTCCTTGGAGAGCTGACCAACTAGTTCAACTATAAGAGTTGCAAATATTGCTTAGGGAATGTAACCTTTTTCATTTACATGTAGTCCTGTTTATAAAACAAGACTAAAGGAAACAGACACAGCACCTGTTTGTGTTACCAAATAAACTGCATCCCCTAGTGTTAGAAAGCCTACATGACAGCATGGGACGTGTATAGAATGCATGCTAGACCTTGTATGTTCCAGATTGTTCTGGCTTAACATGGGGGTTGATGTTGAGAAGAAGGTCAAAATCAGCAACAGGTGAAAGAAAAAGCAGCAACTTCAGTTAACATAAAATTTTGCTGACCTTTAGCGCTGGTTTGTGTGGATTTCGCATGGAACTCCCCTAATGTAATGCCTCTGGAAGAGGAAGAAAATGACATACCTGATCTTATTTAGAATGATGTCGCAGAGACGGATAAGAAGTGAAACTGAATCAAACTCCAGTGACGGATCTGCAGCACTTGTGGAGAGTGAAATCCCACAGTATCTGTAACACAGAATCCAAGTACAACCCAAGAACATTTACTGCCCGAATTTAGAGAACTCCCTTATTTCAGTCTATTCCCTTTTTCAAAATCACAAAATGTGTGTTTTTGCCTCTGCTTGTTTAATCCACCCAGTGCAGGATGTCAGTGTGTCAGTTCAATCCCTGAACAAGTCTGTTTCTTCTACTCTTACTCACTCATTCCACTCAGCACTCCAGTCCACGTCTTCAGACAGTTCTCCTTATTGCGAAGTTACCTAGTGGGAAAGAGCAAAAGAGGCTGCTTGGCACAATCAATGACAGGCTTGGTTGCTTTGGCTCTTTTGTTGTGTGTTTGCTCTTGATTATTCTGAGTGTTTGGCCTTTTTTACTTCATTTCCTTGCCTGACTTTGAGATTAGCATAGCCCCTTCAAAACCTGTTAGCCTCTTGTATGTTTTAAACATATTCTCTTTCATGTACCTTACCAAATCCGCTAAAACCAATAAGCAAATAAATACATTAATATTAGATTTTTTTTATTCTAAAACCGATCTCTCAAACTTTACATATTTTAAAGAATACCAGCTAATCAAGTTCAAGCCCCTCCCACTGAACATACTATATATGCAACCCTATGAATTTCCAGTTCCACTTTTCCATTGTAATTAGATCAGGATAAAACTGCAGTTAAACTAGATGATTCTAACGATAAATGTACTAAAAGAAGAGATGTGGCCATTGGGAAGCAATGTGGAAAACAGAATGCTCTTTTATTTCACATGCTTGCAGCACTGAAGCATGTGCTTGGTGGTTTGCTAGGACCTTTTACACTTAAAAACATCAGATTATGGAAACCCTTTCAACTTTATGTCAACATGGGTGATCTTGATTGCTCCAGTGAGGAGTAGCTAGCCAGTAATAAATAAGCAATTGCATGCAAAAAATTGAAGCTACATTGAGAACTACTGAGTATTACTTTAGGACTGAACTAAAAACACAGCACACTGGACCTGTGATGCAAAGTAGACTGACATACTCGTGCACACTCGCAAACATTCCTTTTTTCTTTTTAAAATTTCTAAATTATGAAACTGGAGAGTACAAGATGCTTAACCAGTTTAACTGATATTGTTATGGACATAACATCACTAAGATTTTTTTTTTTGGGGGGGGGGCATTCAATGGTAATCTTAACTACAAACAACAGACATAAGGGTACATAACAATAGATCAAGTAGACTATGGTGAACAATAAAAGATGAAGCAAATTATTAGCCTAAATTTGATACATATTTGGCAAATTTACTAAATTGCAGACAACCAATCTAGTAGTATATCTACTAAGAAAAAAGTGAACAAAGCCAAAGCATGATAAACTGTAAGTAGTGAATACTGTGAGAGCGCCCCCTGCTGTTTATCAGAGCCTCACCAATCCCCAGTTTCAGTCTCCATTTCCCAAACGCTTTAACTGAGCATGCTAATGTTATTTCTCCTAATAAACAGACACACGTTCAGCTCCGTCTCCTCATTATTCACCACCATCACTGTAATATTTCATCATCAACATTAACACATGAAGGTGATCAGAGGGACGGTGGAGATCGAGTCTGCAGCGTCTGAGATTTTTCAGGTATTAGAAAAGAAAGACATCTTACGAGTGAAAACTGAATTCGTCATGGAGACTGAACAGATCAGATTTCAAAGGTAAGATTTTAGATTTTTATGTTGAACAATGTTGTTAGGTATTGATAATGACCAAGATGGCGGTGGACCCTGATAAGAAAATAGCCAGAAGTCAACCTTGAAGATGACCTGCTGCCGAGGCTATGTGAGCTCAGTTTGCTAAGAGAACCAAGCTCACAACGGGCCTGGTCACAGGAGCCAGCAGTCCTTGGCTTTGCCTGATGAGGGAGGCTGGGGGAGGGTCCACCGTAAGCGCTGCGCAAGGAAGAGCATGGGAAGAGGGCTAGGGTCCGTGCTAGGCTAAAAGCTAACACTAGCTATCTTACTCTCCAATATCTGCTCACTGGACAATAAACTTGACTACATCAGACTTCAGCAGACCACCCAGCGAAAGTTCAGAGACTGCTGCGTTTTGGTTTTTACTGAAACGTGGATTAGCGACAACATTCCTGATGCCGCCATTCAGCTGGATAGGCTGGCTTTGTTTCATGTTAACAGAAGTGCAGCTCTAATGGGAAAAACACTTGGAGGAGGTGTGTGTGTGTTTACATCAACACAGAATGGTGTAAGAAATGTGCAAATTACTGCTCTCCATTGGTAGAGTTTGTAAATCAGATACAGACCGTTTTATTTACCATGGGAATGATCCCAACATACAGTCTGTTTGTCAGACACTCCAAACCAGTCCAGAAGCAGGTAAAAACCTGGCCAGCAGGAGCCATCTCTGCTTTTCAAGACTGTTTTGAGCAAACTGCATGAGGCGTGTTTAGGGAGGCTGCCACTGACAGTGATCCTGTTAACTTGGCTATATCAGCAAGTGCATTCATGATGTTACTGTCTTCAAGACCGTCACCACACACAAAAATCAGAAGCTGTGGATGACTGCTGAGGTGCACACGTTGCCAAAGGGCCCTGACTCAGCCTTTAGAGCAGGTGACAAAGTGGCCCTAAGAACAGAGAGGACCAAACCGTCACGAGCCATCAGAGAGGTGAAGCATGAACATGCTCAAAGAATAATGCACCAGCGAGGAAGACCATTTCTCCACCCAGTGATCAGGTACTGTGTCTGTCTGCAGCTGATGTAAGGAAATCCTGTGGAAACTCATCAATCTACGGAAGGCTGCTGGGCCAGACAACGCTTCTGGCTGCGTGCTCAGAGAATGTGCAGACCAGCTAGCAGATGTTCTCCCAGACATCTTAAACATCCCGCTAAGCAGCGCCATTGTTTCCGTGCCAACTCGACTACCGTCCCATCACACTCACACCCATCGTCATGCAGTGCTTCGAGAGGCTTGTAATGAAGCACATCAAGACCCAGCTGCCTTCTTTACTGGACCCTCTGCATTTTGCATATCGCTCTAACCGCTCTGTAGATGATGCCATTGCCACCACTCCTCATCTGACCCTTACTTGTCTGGAGAACAGGGACATTTATGTTAGAATTCTGTTCATAAACTTCAGTTTAGCATTCAATACCATCATTTCTCAGCATCTGCTTGGAAAGCTGAGCCTGCTGAGCCTGAACACTTCCCTCTGCAATTGGATCCTGAACTTTCTTGCTGAGAGACCTCAGTCTGGATCAGGAGCAGCATCTCTAACACCATCACACTGGGCACTGGAGCCCCCCAGGGCATCCTTGGTGATCACTGCTTCCCTCTTGCTTTCAGAGTTGTTAGGTAGGCACAGAGTCAGCTGAGCAGTTTATTAGTTTCTGGTTTGACTATGTTTAACCCTCTGGGGTCTGAGGGCATTTTCTTGATTTTTGTGCATATTCTTAAATATGTCTTTAAAGGCTCTTGTATATGCCATAATAGCCACACATTATATCTGAAAATGTTCAGAACAATCTCAGCTCTCTCTATAATGAGGCACTTTTGACCTGGAGCTCTGTGTAAAGAGGTCATTCTGCCCTAGAGCTGAAAAAATGAAATACAGTTTTAGAAATTCTGAATATCTCTTCTGAAAACATAGTTTTATACATGTGGACAAATTGATTTGGTGCTTGAAATGGGTTTACCAAAGTCTTAGGTTCACAAAAGTAGTGGAATGTAGTAATAAAGTAGTAGATAATTGTTTTCTAAAAATAAAACTAAATACACCTAAAAAAAATAAAAGATTCTCCTCATCACTACTTTACAAAACCACTGCAGCAACTTCAGCAGCTGTACATTTTTTACACACCAATTCACGTCTGTATCCGAGGTGACTGAACAAAAAAAAGGTTTTCTATGTGATGGTCAGTTCTTAGTGACTTCCTGAGTGTTCATTGGTCAGTTTCACACAGAATGTAGACGGACACACGAATTCACGAGTTCCACATAGTCAGAGGCAGATGACGTGTATCTCAGCCCCTCTTCATAGGCTCATAACTCCGGATGTGAGTCTCGTATGATCTCATGATAAGATGGAATGGAAAGGGCGACTCTACAGATTCAGGAAGTGTTTGAACTGTATTTCTGCGCTGAATTATCGCAAAGATATGAAAAGAAACACAGAGAAACATCTGATTTGATGTGCTGGTGCATCCCCAATCCCAGAGGATTAAAAACCTTTGCAGAGCTGATGCGTAGAGTTTGGCCTTCTAATGTTCATTTAGATACAACCTCCCCAAAACATGTCAAATCATCTCGTCTAAATCATTTTCCTTTGTCTTTATAACATTTCCTTTTTCAGCAGAGGTGTTTAAGTTTATTAAGTTGTTGTTGCTGAACCAAACACATTTTTAGCAGTCTGCATCTTAATTGCTACCAGATGCTATGAAACTACTTATGAAGGGAACTGCTATGCTGAGTAAGGGTAGAACAGATCCTCCAGATTGGTTAATAGCTTTCATTTTTGTGTGTCCAGATACTCTTTTATGAGCAAAACATTTTTTCAAAATCTCATGCTCTTGTGCCGTGAGCAGGATGTTCACTCTGAGAACGTTTAAGGTTGGTTCACACAAGGATAATATGAGATGTGCCCGATGATGCCTTATGTAATACAACCTTTCTTTATTGGGGTGAAGATGGTGCTTCAAGGATTCTTTAGTAAAGGAAATGAGCACTCAGAGAACATTTGTATGCTTAAATGGCTCTTTGCACGGTGAAATGGTTCTTCAGACTGATGGAGAATGTGTTGTATATGGTTCTTTATAGCATGAAAACGGGTTCTGCTATTGTCAAGCTAGTCATAACAGCAGAACCCCTTTTGGTGCTATAAAGAACCCTTTTCAACATGGTTCTGTATAGAGTCAATACAGCACATTCTCCATCAATCTGAACAACCCTTTCATGATGCAAAGAACCCTTTAATCATGCAAAGGGTTCTTTGACTGTTCATGGTTCTATATAGAACCAGTTTCTTTACTAAAGAGCTCTTGAAGAACCATCTTTTTAAAGAGTGTAGGCCAGTTTGGAAATGAAAAAAAAAAAAGATTGAGCGCAACACAGTGCAAGGGAGCATAAATATAGAACATAGTGTTGTAGGGTTACTAAAGAACACTTGAATTGTTTTTAAGTGTGTAGGGTCTTCAACATCAGAATGAAACTCTTCTGGTGTTGTAGCTTTCAAGTCTACAAATAATTAGCTGTAAGGTCATGCAGTGACGTCTCGATAACATTAAATAAAAGTACTAAAAAGTACTTCCTGTTTCCTGGGCACATTTGATGTGCCAGTGTGCTGATCTGTAATTGTCTCTAGGATTTTCAAAACACACCATGTAGTTGTCGTTCAGATTAACAGTTCTACTACTTTTTCCTTGAATAAAAAGATTTTGAACCAAAAAAATGACACTTAAGTTTCTGCGATGAGTATATTTTGTAAAGGCTTTCTCTACTTCCTTATTCTTACTAGCCGTCTCGATAATCACACAAAGAAGCAGGAATTCTTTGAATAAAATCTGTTTTCAACTTATCATACAGAGACTTCCAGCATGTATAACAATACTATCAGATATTTTCCAAAAACATTTTGATGAAAAAAGATTTTTTGCTATTGGGAGGTGCCCACTTAAGAGAAGAAAAGGGAAGTTGAAACCTAGCATCAAATCAACAAAATGTGTCAGGTTTTTTTATTTACCTTTCTTTAATTGTAGAATTATCAGTATTAATTAGAATCTTAGCATGAATCTATATGATAACCAATCGTAACTCATATGGCAAGTAGTTACTAATGTCAAACCTGAAGTTTCAGATATAAACGGTTTATTCTTTAGTTGTATACGTTACAAATGAAAACTAAAATTAACATTAGACAAAGTTAGAGTAAATTAGACGGAATGGTGTGTGTGTGTGTGTGTGTGTGTGTGTGTGTGTGTGAGAGAAGGAAGGGTTGGGTTGGAGATATTGATGCGTGTGTATGTGTGTGAAGGAAGGGGGGGTTAGAGATATCTGTGTGTGTGTGAAGGGGGGGGGGTTGGAGATATCCGTGTTTTTGTGCGTGTGTGTGTGTGTGTGTGTGTGTGTGTGTGTGTGAAGGGTGGTGGGATGGAGATGTTTGTGAATAAAGAATTAATATCGAACTGTCTTTAGATAATTTCTTGTTTCATTCCAGGTTTTGCCATTTCCTCCTAATAAACACAGCCTTGTTGCAGAATGTTTTGTCACTTGGTCCAACTAAGGGAGCATATTCCAACAGGAAAATGATGTCAGTGCCTTCTGTGCCCTTGTACTCTAATAGAGCGCTGTATGTTTTTCTCCATCTTTCTTTCTCTTTCTCTCTCTCTCATTTGAATAGTGGGTGAAGGTTCAGGGCTGGTTAAAAAGATGGCCCCAGGCCAGGCGATGCCCCTGCTAGAAACAGCCTAGCGAGCTGTAAGCTACAAGCCAGATGGATGACTGCTCTGGCGCAAATCACAACCCGTTCCAGAAAGACAAAAACACCCAACCTAATCGTTTGTAAATGTAAATCTTAACGTTAACATCAAAGGTCTAAATGGTGGGAAATGTATTATCTACTCACCTTTTCCTCAGAATCCATAGTCTTGTAGGCTAATTGTGTCCAAGTTCAAGCATGGGTGTGAGAAGGGAGAGGTGAGCTGAAGATATCTATGTGTGTGTGTATATGTGTGGGAAGGAAGGGGTGGGTTGGAGGTGTGTGTGTGTGTGTGTGTGTGTGTGAAGGAAGGATTGGAGATATGTGTGTGTGTGTGTGTGTGTGTGTGTGTGTGTGTGTGTGAAGGAAGGATTGGAGATGTGTGTGTGTGTGTGTGTGTGTGTGTGTGTGTGTGTGTGTGTGTGTTCTCCACCTTTCCCCAAAGAGAGGAAAAGTAAAAGTGCTTGCTGCCTCTCAAGGACCTACATGCTCAAGACACAGCAGTTGACAAAAGCCTCTCCAAGGGTCTCTTGAGCTTCCTCCCCAGTCACCTCAGCAGGTCTTCTCCTGACATGTAGTGTTAATGGCGAAACAAAACTCTAGAAGCCACTGGTCACACAAACAGTGCTTATGCTGAACATATAAAGCAGTCATAGTCTTGAGGGTACAGTTGGTCCATTCAGTCAGGTTTGTCTGAGCATTGTAGTCCAAAGTTGGTTTGTGGACCAGGCCCCATTGCCAACAGGTGGTGTGAAGCAGGTTGGCCACCTCAATCCCACACCAGCTAAACAGGAGTTCCCTATCACATAAATATCAAATGTGATAAAAACCTTGGAGCTAGATGGCCCACCAGGTCAATGTGGAGGTTTGGGGTGATTGTTTACCCAGGTGAGTGCCACATGGTCCGTGACCACAAGGAAATGTCCATCTAGATACACTCTCCACTTCTCTACAGCCCATAACATGGCTACACACTCCTCTGAGGTGGAGTAGTTCTTCTCTTCTCCCCTTATGAGCCTCAAGGCATGGGTAATAACATGCTAATCTGCAGCTCTTTCTGAGAAGTGTGGGATGAAACGATGGTGCCATCCTGCCAACCCCAAGAATCTCTGTTTGTTTTTGACAGACTGTGGTTCAGGGAAGTCACACACCATTTCCACTTTGCTGTGCATATGCCCTCCCTGGACACCATGAGGCCCAGAAGGCAAGCGATTTTGCAGAAGATTACATCTCTTGAGATTGTCAACACTGCTCTGTAAAGATGCTCAAATACCTCCTGAAGATGGTGAGAATGATGTGTCACTGATGCAGAATAGGCCCCAATATCGTCAGTGTAGGTGACACAGGACAGTCTCCATCACATGCTGAAATGAGGCAGTTGCATTTTTAAGACCAAAAGGAATAACTAGAAATTCATAGAGCCCATCACAGGTTGTGAATCCAGTCTGTGGGACGCTGCCAGTACCCGCTCGAGATTAAGAGTACTGAAAACGCTTTACCATGCAGAGATTCAAGAACCTCCTGCACCTATGTCATTGAATGCACATCTAGGTTGGTCTTAGCATTAAGATGACACTAGTCCACACAGGTCCTTGTGATGCCATCCTTCTTTGGAACAAGGACCACTGGCACTGCACAAGGGGAAGACAATGGTTAGACTATGTCTTTCTGGAGCCTATCATCTATTGCCTCCTTGATGAACTGTCGCTTCTGCACTGATACTCTGTATGGTCTATGCCATACTGGGAGTTCATCAATGGTGGTGATGTGATGCAGTACAACTGTTGTTCGCCCCAGGTGGTTGGTGCATAGAGATTACCACTGGTTTAGTTTATGCCACAACTGCTCTTTGTTCAGGCTTGTAGCATCTGCCTTTGCTACTAAACACTACATTTGCTGCCATAACCATGAATCAACAGGCTCAACAATGCTCTGTGCAGGGAATAAATGCATGTTTGCCATGTAATCAGATTGGGTGTAATATCTTGGTAGTCTTTTGATGCCTGCAGTGCTTTTCTTCCCTGTAATAGCACTTTACAGCATACAAGTCTTGTTCCACCAGTGTGCCAATCCTCACCAGCTTATCCGCTGTGCTCACAGTCCTCCTCAGCAAACTCACCAGCTATGAATTGCAGTTCCTGAGAATGGCCTGCACCAGATCTTTCTCAGACATGTTCTCCCACCATCTAAGGTACAGAGTGTGGTACTGGAAAGGGAAATCTCTGACACTTTCATGGACACCTTGTCTTCGATGTTTTTTTTTTTTTTTTTTTGTTTTTTTTGTCTCTTCAGCTTTGTCGTCCAGCTCCGGACTAAAGTCTAATTGTCAGCCTTCCACCAATCTTTGGCAGTGCCTGATATTTCAGAGGTGAGTGCTGCCAGTATTTCATGGTTGCTTAGTGGGAGAACAGCCAAAAACTCATCACTCTTCTCAACGAAGGCTAGAGAACATGTTAGGTTCTAAGGCTTGTGCACCAAAACACTGCAGACTTAAGCACACTGCCTCATTAAATACGTGATTCAGCTCATCCTCTAATTAGCAAGGCTTTAATGAACTGGATTTAGAGCGTTAAATGAGGGTAAACACTAATTTCTGCGGCAGTTGGCCTGGAGGGTCCGCAGTTTGACATGCCTGGGCTATGGGGTCTGACACTTCATCAGTGTTTTCATACTTGGGAAACTCCAGCTTGATGGGTGGTTTTAGGTGTACGCTGAACAGATCGAAAGCAGAACTTGTTTGGGCTGTGTCTGCAGTACAGGTCATGGATTGAGCTGAAGGAAGTGGTGTTGATGCTATGAGTGCTACTTTGAAGTTGTTTCTCCAGTTGTTTGTCCATTCTCTTAAAACAGTCCAATACTGACTTTCCCAGCTCCTACAGCCTCTCATTTTGTTGCTCCAAGTGGTACATCAGTCAGTCTTCAGTGGCTCTATCACTTTGTTCTAATTCCGCTCTCATGATCTGCAGTTGGTCTCCTGTTCCCCTGACTCTCTGTGTGGCTGTAGATTTCCTGAAGTTTGTTCTCAAGGCTGCTGCCTCTGTCCTCCATTGCCAGCAGTCGCTCTGCCAGATTAGGCTGGCCACTGCCCAAATCAAGTGTCGGGCTGCAATGATAAATGAAAAACACACCGAACAACTAGCAACAATAAACAGTAGTACAGTGTCCGCTGCACAGACCACCACTATGTAACCTACCCCCTGGAGTATGGCCTGAACCTGGGGAAAAAATGATTTCTGGAGGTTGTGTATAGAAGCAGCCAAGAAGAAAGCAGTAGAGGTGAAGTAATCAAAATGCTAAACAAAGTTTTACCCTTTACCTATCCATTTGCACACAAATCCCCAGTAAACAAGTAGGCCACAATACAGTCACATGAGCTGTGTACAGGAGAATTATGTATGGATGTGAGAGTCTCTGAGTTGGTGATAAATATCAAGAATAAGTCATTAATAAGTAAATGTTTGATCCCACCAGGAGGAATGGCCGTCCTTTTTGTCCTGTGTTATGACTAGGGGTTGGAAGGAATTACAGCTTCCAACTAGCCTAGTAGGCCCTGAAGAAAGATGGTGGGCCTTGGCAATGCAGAGTCTTTTGAGGGTGTTAAGGTCTTCAGCAGCACATCACAGTTCCCTGCCAAAGCCAGTCCATCAAACATTAGTACATAAACTCTCTCGCTGTGTAAAAAGGTGGATGCATGGGAACAATACACTACCCAACACAGAGGGAATATTTTTAGCCGTAGCATTAATATTAGTATTAGCATTAGCCCAAGGAACTTTGCTTCAGTAACAACTGAAATTTGTAACATTTCATGAATGGTTTCATTCCAAAATGCTGCATATCCATTTGTGACAATTTTGGGTATAAAGAGTTTTTAAAAAGAATAATAGGTGCCGTATAATGGAAAATGTTTATTTCTCTAATAAAGTTGATATTAATTATTACAGAGCACTGATGTTTCTTTCATGTGTAAAGCCTATTGGCATAAACGGGTATCATGAAAAGGTTTATGATGTGTTTTGGAATGAAACCCTTCATATATTGTACTTTTAAGTCCATTTATGTCAGTTTGTCTGGGTTTAACAGTGTTTGTGGCTTTAGCTTCTGCTGTTTTGGAATAAACAAAATAATGCAAACACACAGGATCCTCTCTCAACCTGTTATCTTTAGAGTGGATCCAGACTTCATGCATTCTCCACCACATACTGTTTCTTTTTATTTAAAACAAAAATGCTGAATTGTTTGTAGTAGTTATTTAATGATGAGTCTTAAAACTAATACCTGAATGAGTCTGGAGAGCAGAGGTGAACAGACTAATGAGAGTAATGACAGTATTCGGTTCCACAGCAGAATATGCTGGGTGTTATAAGGAGAATTAAAGTACTTAGTATGGCGTAGTGCAGATAAACAAGTAAACTGTTACTTCTCAATACGTCAATAAAACACTACAGTAAACATCACTACAGTAAATATCTTCAGTATACATTCTTTAAAAAGTTCTTCAGGGGTTCTTTAGTAAAGAAAATGGGTCTATATAGAACCATGAACACCTAAAGGACCAATCGCATGATTAAAGGGTTCTTTGAATGGTGAAGTGGTTCTTCAGATTGATGGAGAATGTGATGCATATAGCACCAAAAAAGAGTTCTTCTGTTGTGTACAGTATCAAGCTTGTAACAATAGCAGAACCTTTTTTGGTGCTATATAAAACCTTTGTCAACAGAACCACCTACAGTACATTCTCCATCAGTCTGAAGAACTATTTCATGACAAACATTCAATCATGAGTTCTTTGAGTGTTCATGGTGCTAGACAGAATTAATTTCTCTATTAAAGAACCATTGAAGAACCATCTTTTTCAGGAGTACAGGCCTTGCAATTATCAAAACCCAATTGCTGTAAACAGGTGTAATCCCACACTGCATATACAGGCTACAAGAATTTAATAAAGGTAAATAAAATGAAAAATAAAAACTTGCAAATCAGAATCAAAGTTTTAAAATTACCCATCTTCACTTCTCCACCTGCAGAAGCAACAAAAGGAGGAAACGTTTTTGTCATGTAGAATGTCTGAAACAACCAAGCTAAACTTTCTTATAATGTTCGTAAAATTAAGATTTAATCTATTATACATATTTATCTTACTTTTTCTTATAATTAGCATAAGATGTTTGCAGTGAACTACTTAGTTTTATTCCTAAATATTGATATTTCTATATGTATATGTACGTATTGAACATGGATTTATATAGAACCACAAAGGGTGTTGTTAGAAGCTTGACATCATAACCATAGCAGAACCCATTTTGGTGGTATTTAGAACCTTTCCCAAAAAGGTTCTGTATAGACCCATCTACAACACATTCTCCATCAATCTGAAGAACCATTTCACCATGCAAAGAACCATGAATCATGCAAATGGTCCTTTGAGTGTTCATGGTTCAATATAGAACCACTTTCTTTAGTAAAGAACCCTTGGAGATCATTTTAGTGTAGTACATTTATATCTTCTCAAAATAGCCCAAAGTTTCTGTCATCATGGTCTAAAAGAAATGTTCAGTTTAACAGAAAACAAGCACTCACTCTTCAGAATAAAGCAGATGATTAAGAGCGACCCGCAGTGCTGATGTGCTGACATGATGCCTGACTAAACATAAATATGTAAGAATAAGGAAATTTATTTGCCTTTAAGAATTATAAATATCACAATATTTAAACGTTTAAGATGTAACAGAGCGGTTCAGAGCGGTTCAGAGTGGTTCAGAGCGGTTTGGTGTGAAACGCTCCGTTCTAGATAAACTTACCGAGTCAGAACTGTTCACAGTGGTGGTGATAGGAACCAGACGTCCACCTCTAAAAGCTCCCTCACAGAAAGTTCCTACATGACATGGTTATGAATTCACTGCCTGTCTGTTGATAGTTGTGAGAAGATTTTGGACTAAAATATCGTAGCATCCTGCTACTGGATGTTACAGAGCGGCCACATGTGGAGGCCCTTGGGAAGCACATCACTCGCAGTAGGACAGACTTTTACTGTAAATAAGTCATTGTTGTCAGCTTAAAGGTGAGCATGTGTTATTTTTGACATTCTGTGCTGGGCTGTGGGGTAGTTGGTGCAGCGTTAGTGCCTACCATTAACGGAGATCGTACGAACAAGATACGTACGGGCAAATGCTCTTTTTTTTAACAGGCACTTCAGCAGGCAGCTACAAATGCCCAGCCCCTTTTTAACCCAACACAAAACACAGGGAAAGCGGTAAATCCTCTCCTCAGACACAGTTTACTTCACACAACACAAATACACTAATAACAGCAACAACATCAGTTACAATGAGTGTCCTTCTTACCTGGGAGTGAGGCGCACTCCGAGAGTCACTTTTTATTGCCACACCCCCTAAATTCTTCATGGCCGATGCCACAATACAATCTAATCAAAATGTTATTAAAACTTAAGTTAAATATTTTCAAGCTAAATATTTTAAAAATATTCTAATTTAAGACTGAATAGTTGAATCTCCAAAACATTCTGAAATTTCATTTTATGGCTACAATCCGAAAGATGCTTTTTCAAGTGTTCTTTATGAAAGACCACTTTATTATTGAAGAAATTGTTCTTCAGTTTGATGGAGAATGTTTTGTACATGGGTCTATATACTTTATAGAACCTTTTTGAAAATGGTTCTATATAGCACCAGAAAAGGTTCTTCTGTTGTTACAAACTTGACATTGTAACAATAGCAGAATCCTTTGCAGCACATTCTCTGTCAACCTAAAGAAGCATTTCATCATGCAGAGAACCATTTAAGCATGCAAAGGGTTCTTTGAGTGTTCATGGTGCTATATAGAACCATTGTCTTTGTCTGTGAAAAGGTGCTTAAGAAACACATTGACAGGTATAAAATCACAGGTCACTTAAATATAGCAAGTAAACATCATCTTCTGCCCTAAAAAAAGCTTCTGCCCCAAAACCATGCATCCACATTTTTGTTTTTTATTGCCTTATTTGCATTGTGTGAATATAACCATGTGGATGGTTTTGTCAGTTAGGTTGGTGATATATATCCTGATTCATTTTGATATTCAAGTAAAACAGACTTTGATCAAAATTAATGTAGGACTGCAGTGACAGCACTGGTGTTGCACAAAAATATAGCAGCATGTTTTATTATTGAAAAGCAGCAGAGGGAAATCAGTAGGTTTTTGTGTTAGGCTGCCTCGCGATGAGCTAGTAAACTAATGCACTGGATGCTGATTAGAAGTCGTCGTTTTCAACACAAGTTTTTTTTTCGTTTTTACATCAAAATGCTGTTTTATAAATGATTACTTAAATGTGAATATTTGTGTATGACCATTTCAAGATCAAATTCATGTGTACAAGTTTTTTTAAATATGCTTCCAAAGTCTAAACCCAACCACGTCACTTTGGGACTCTAAATAATACATTTTAATCTCTAAATTCACAGACGGGGTCTCATCTCAGAAAAATATGCAAAAAGACAGCAGAGAAGTGTAAATACAACAATTATGATTTATTTGAAGATTAGGAAAGTCATTATTGCAATTCAAATCAAAATTTGTGACTGACCAAATAACATAAGAAAAAGAAATAAAAGTAGAATGAAATATATATGTATTCAGGAGCTACAACTCAACTACCAAAATCTCATTCACCAATTTTTACCCATAAGTTAGTAAGCATATGAAGAATATAATGTTTCCATGTAATACAGGAAAATAAAATAAAATAGAAAAAAGTCAATTAACCAACAGCTCTACTTACCTACCTCTGTTTATAAAATGAAGAGAAACAGAGTGCAAAAAAATACATATTTTATACAAAAAAGCCCCAATACTTTACAACCAGAGTAACAGCTAACACAGCGTACACTGTGAAAAATGGCTCGACAGTCCAACCTAAAAAAAAATTACTTCATGCGGTAACAAGTAAATTAATTAGTTTTATTCAAACTAAATTAATACTTTGAATGAACAATTCTTTCAATCAATGTAATTTTTTGAGTTGAATAAAACTAGTTCAGTTGCTTGTTACTACATTATTTTTTTTTTAGGTTGATTTACCCATTTTACCAAGGGTGCCAATAATTATAGAACTGACTATATGTATGTATCTAAGAATCTATATATCTATATAGCTATTTATCTGTAAATCAGGGGTAATGCACATAAATCAACACAAAAGTGTCAGTTTAAGTATTAAAGTCTAACTGTTGTAAATGTTTATTGGCGAGGTGTTACAGAGAGAAAGATGACTTAAGCTTTTCTAAAACAAAATCAGATTATGCTTTTTACTTTCTAAGTTCTGCAATTACTTAAAGAATGAGTTGGGCGATTTGGCTGTAACCATTAGAAGTGTTTAGACATTCTTAGCAGAAATCTCTGTTTATGGAGTGTTTGTCCTTTATGATGTCCAGATTTTTGATTACACTATTGTAAAGTGCAGTACAAACATATGAGAATGCCAAGGTAATATAATCATTTCAACCATAACAGAATGACATTTTAACTGTACCACTCTGACGTTGTAAAAACTTTCACATCATTTTCAAGCAAATGATTAACCTGCAATTAAATCTGTTCAAGGCAGAGATCAGAAGAGAGCAGCAAGTGATTTATCAGCTTTCAGGTTTCTGTTTGGCTTAATTCCCATCATTCCATTTTGAGACTTTATTCAGATGTAGAGTAAAGTTTCCAGGGAGGCCTTTTCTAATCAGTTCTTTCTTAAGCTGTAACATAAAAACACACCAACAGGTTAGAACGTGATTAGGACTGTCAGTTTCCACTATATTACTAATCAAACATTCCTTCAATTATTTCAATAATTAATTGCATAATCTGTGTTTTAAATCAAGGCCAATTAAATGGACTTAACTGAACAATAACAAACCATCCAGAGCCTTTTAAAGACTCCACAATATAATACTGTAAAAGAATAATCTAGGAAATCTTTAGAAAGAGATTAATAACTCATCACTTTGATTTATCAGTTTACTTGGGCTTTAGCAGAGCTCAGTAACACTGAGATTAATAACTGATCACATTGATTTATCAGTCTACTCAGGCTTTAGCAGAGCACAGTAACACTGAGATTAATAACTGATCACATTGATTTATCAGTCTACTCAGGCTTTAGCAGAGCTCAGTAACGCTGAGATTAATAACCGATCACATTGATTTATCAGTCTACTCAGACTTTAGCAGAAGCTTCAGGAATTATAGAGAAGCTGTTAATTGAGGTCTTCTTTAAAGTTCCTCTAATTGGCATATTTTGCTTCCCTGATTTTTTATTTAGCAGGTAAGCATTCTAAAAGTGTTTAACCAGTAACTGCATTCTGAATGCTCCTCATGTACAACCCCAATCCCAAAAAAGTTGGGACACTGTGTAAAATGTAAGTAAATGTAAATAATAGCAGAATGCAATGGTTTGCAAATCTTATAGATCCATATTTTATTTACAATAGAACATAGAACACATATCAGATGTTGAAAGTGAGACATTTTACCATTTCATGAAAAACATTAACTCGTTTAGAAATTAATGGCAGCAACGCATCTCAAAAAAGTCGGGACAGGGCCGCTTCTACCGTTGTGTAGCATCTCCTCTTCTTTAACAACAGTAAATGTCTGGGAAGTCAGGAGACCAATTGCTGGAGTTTTGGGAGAGGAATATTGTCCCATTCTTGTCTGCTGTAGGATTCTAGCTGCTCAACAGTCTACTTTTCCGAATTTCATGCCGTTTCATGATGCGCCAAATGCTTTCTATAGGTGAAAGGTCTGGACTGCAGACAGGCCAGTTCAGCACCCAGACTCTTCTTCTTTGAAGCCACAGTAACGCAGGACGCGGAATCTGTGGTTTCCAAAAGGAATTTCAAATTTTGATTCATCTGACCACAGAAGTTTTCCATTTTGCCTCAGTCCATTTTAAATGAGCTTTGGCCCAGAGAAGACGGCAGCGTTTCTGGATCGTGTTGATATTTGGCTTCTTTTTTGCATGATACAGCTTTTAACTTACATTTGTGGATTACACGGCAAACTGTGTTCACAGACAGTGATTTCTGGAAGTGTTCCTGAGCCCATGCAGTGATTTCCAGTACAGAATCAGGCCTGTTTTTAATGCAGAGCCACCTGAGGCCCCGAAGATCACGAGCATCCAATACTGACCATTGGCCTTGTCCCTTGTGTACAGGGATTTCTCCAGATTCTCTGAATCTCTTGATGATATTCCGTACTGTAGATGGTGGGATATCCAAAGTCTTCGCAGTTTTACGTTGAGGAACATTTTTCTGAAATTGTTCCACAATTTTTAGACGCATTTTATCTCAGATTGGTGAACCTCTGCCCATCTTTGCTTCTGAGAGACTCTGCCTGAGTCTGAGAGACTCTTTTTATACCCAGTCATGTGAGGTAGTTGCAAACTGCTCCTCCAGCTGTTTTTATTAGTATCACTTACTTTTCCAGCCTTTTGTTGCCCCTGTACCAACTTTTTTGAGATGCTTTGCGGCCATCAAGTTCTAAATGAGTTAATATTTTTAATTAAATGGTAAAATGTCTCACTTTCAACATCTGATATGTGTTCTATGTTCTATTGTGAATAAAATATGGGTCTGTTTGGGTCATTGCATTCTGTTTTTATTTACATTTATTTACATGTGTCAGAGACCACGCTTTCATTTAATATCTAATTAAAATGGCCATTAAGTACAAATTGAATTTATTGAATGTGGTTCAGAAGAGGACTGGCTGATTCAAATAAGATAATCTTAATTTATTGCTCAAATGTGATTTATTTTTTTATTCATTTACATTTTTTTTGTTTTACCCACTGTGTTCTTTTGCCATGGAATATTTTCCCCCTTAAGAATGCTGTAGACTGGTTCACTTGTTTATGAAGGTTTGGGTTTTGTTTTTGTGAGGTTTGAGTAGTTTACTTTGGAGTACTCACACAAAAAGTGATTTCAGGTTGAGAGATTGGATTGTTAAAAAGTTACTATATCAAACATGGTTGATGATGTATAACATGATCATAATGTTTTATCTTTTTATTTAAGAAAATGGCTGCATTCAACCTAAAAAGAAGTTTCACTTCTTATTCAGGTATTTATCTCTCCTGTGCACCACTCTTACTCCCTTATTGATTACACATCCATTTAAAATTTTGGGTTGGGTTTTTTGGGGGGGTGAGGTAACAATAAATCAGAGTCTGTTTCTAATTCTACATTATGAGAAGCACTTGAAGCTGTTCTCCATGTAAAATGTAGAAAGCTGTTACATTTGTTTATACCTGACCTTTTTCAGGTAAACTTAAACTTGAAATCTTCTCCTATGCTCTTCATGAAATAATGTAGGATATCTCCCATCATTATTGGAATTAAACAGGCAAATAGCCATAAACTTCACTCCAGAACTGTTAAAATCATTACTAGGCCTTCAAGCAGAATTCAACTCATCTCCCTCCAACCCTTACCAAGGCCATGATTTTGCTTCCTTTAGAGAATGATAAAGATTAAGCATTGTTCTGTTGATCCACTTGGTAATGAGCATAAAATTTTAGCAGATTTCTGCTGGAGCCGCTATGGGATTTTCAATGTTACATTGAACATTACAGTGGTGGTGATGTACATTCACAGCCTGAGTTTTAATGATAATCGGGTCAGTTCGAGCTTAAATGGACAAGGTTTTTTATCTGTCAGTAGATATTTTAAGGCCTTATTCTGAATGTCATTGGGGGAGACTGTAAGCCTGTGGATACCCTGAGCAAAAAATAATTGCAAATTAATCAAGAAGGTACATTTAATTTTTTTAACCAAATTATTGATAAGACATTATCTTAAACACATTTTTCTATTGTAGATGATTAAAAAACTCCTAACAAAGTATCAGTAACGCATGAACAACATAGTGAAGTAGCAGTACTGAAGCATCTGAATATATAAACATCTTTAAGATCTACTGTTGAAACATTACTTATTTACATAGATGTACTGTTGATGTTACCTGAAGTAGACTTAATGCTACGCCCATTAACCTCAGTTCAAAACCTAAACCTAGCCCTCACCCTGGCCTTAATCCTAACCCTAACCTTAACCTAAATTAATCCAGTTAAACTCCAGGTACAGAATGGTGTCAGTGTGTCTGTAACAGCTTGTTGAGATGGTCTGTATTAAACATGTTAATGTTCAGTTCCTCTCAGGTTAAACATCTGCAGATCTGAGTGTGAACACTTCAAATGAAGTGAAAAACAACTGAATTCAGCAGATTATTAAACAAACTTCATTTACAGAATTAATTAAAAGTCTCTTGCTGATCTGCTGAATGTATTCACTGCTACTACACCATTGTAACTAAAGCATCACCAAATTATTCATTTAAATTGATAAAATGTGCCACTTGTAAACTTGATTATATAAAAAGTTATCAGAAAAGTTGACAGTACTGGACAAGAGCAACCACAATAATTATTATTGCTTATTAACAGTGTTACCATGATCACTGTCACTTACCTCATTCAAAAAAACCCTCACTGGAGGATGACTGCTCAAGGTTATTTACTGAAGAAACTCTTATCCTCAGTGCAATAACATGCTCTTTGGAAAGTAAGCAAAACATTAATACCATTAATTAAAAACTCTGTAATGAAAATTTAAAAAATATTGAGGCAACTGCCCCGAGAAGCTAATGTAGGAAAAAATACCTGGCAGTGGCTGGATGTTCATTGGTCCATGTGCTGTTGCAGCATCTTTTAGATAAAACAATAAAAACATAACAAATAAATAGGCCAGGAACAAAAACTTTAGTTTTGCTTCATTTAGCATGCTATGGCCATATTTCTAAAGTACCAGAGTGCATTTTAGGGAATTATGGTTCTGAACAGTTCCCAACATTTTATACACAGAATGTATTGACATTAGGCTTTTGCAGATGGCAGTACAGTCGTTATCATCATGCCTAATCAGTGCACATCAGTAAAGCTGACAGAACTCAGACAGTTGTGATTTACGCACCAAAAGTGTAAGAAAACACCTGCACACTTTAAAACTTAAACCATCAAGCATCCTAGGCTAAAGCATACTGCCATGGCAAGAATGAAAATGCTTTCCATTTATGTCTTACTTTTGCTGGCTTGATGCACAGATGTAGACATTTGCTTTGACATTTAAAGCTATTTTCATTAATGAGCATTTTAAGCCAGTTTCAGGCATCAGCTGCACAGTGAATGCATTTATGTACAAATGTGCATAATGTACTCTACATATGCATTTGATGGAGAGCTGCACAAAACATAGGAGGATCCTGCAACAAGTGAGCAGGAATAGCTGATTCTATGAGGAGTGTGTTTTTTACATCAACCAAAGATCTTGTGAGAATCTGCTCTCCTGAACTGGAAATGCTTTTCATCTGTTGCAGGCCATTCTACTTAATCTGGGAATTTAACTTTATGACTCTGATCAGCGTCTATGTTCCCCCTCTGGCACAAGCCACAAGACACTCAGACCCTCCAATCATCATTATGGGAGACTTAAGCCACACCAGTCTGAGTGCTGAATTAACAAAATACGAACAGTTGATCACCAAAGAAGACAGCTACAGCACTATCAAGGACGTATACCGGGCTACCCCCTGTACCCCACTGGGAAGCTCTGACCATTCCCTGATCCAGCTTATCCCCTCATACATGCAAAAGCTTAAAATCACAAAGCCTCAGGTGAAATCAGTAAGAATCCTGATGCCATAGAGGGTTTGAGGGAGTGTTTGGACTCAACCAACTAGGACCACTGCAAATAATAACCTGGATGACTACAGATGCAGTCACCTCTTAAATAAGCTTCTGTGAGGAGACTTGCATCCCATCAAACAGTAGCTAACAAACCCTGGTTCTTCACTGAGCTCAGGAAACTGCACACACCCAAGGAAGAGGCTCAGAGCAGTGGTCACTGTGACACATACAAAAGGATAAAGTATGCACTGAACTAAGTCAAACTGCCAAACATAAATACAGAGAAAAACTGGAGCAGCAGTTCTCCTCAAATGACTGTTCCTCCCTCTGGAAAGGACTCCAAACAAACAAGGCCAAACTATCAACCATAGCAGCTGACCACTTGCTCCCAAACAAGCGCAGTAATGTTTATTCAAAATTTGAAATACAAAGGACAGCCCCCAGTCTATCCTCAGTCTGTCTGCTACACACTGCAGCCTTTTCCCACCTCACCCTATTTGCTCTCACCTCCACAACACCTACAACCCCCTCTCATCTCCATCACTGAACAGCAGGTCAGCCGTGTACTCAGAAAACAGTTTAGGAAAGCTGCTTGTCCTGACTGTGTCTGACCTGCAACACTCAAGCACCATTCTGAACAGCTTTATCCCGTCCTCACTGATCTCTTCAGTCAGTCCATGACCCAGTCTGTCGTACCTGCATGTTTTAAGATCTGTGTCATCATACAATTTCCTAAAAAGCAGAGGATCTCCTGCCTGAATGACTACAGACCAGTTGCCCTAACATCTGTAGTCATTTGTAGTCAAGTGTTTTGACAGAGTTTTACTTTAGCCTCCCAAAGTCATGACTGATACCCCCTAGGACCCTCTGCAGATTGTGTATAGCGCTAACAGGTCTGTAGATAATGCCGTTTATTTGGCCCTTTCCTACATCCTGCAACACCTGGACGGCCCTAAGAATAATGACCAGGTGCCGATTGTAGACATTAGCTCTGCATTCAGCACCATCATTCCTGACTAAACTGTAGTAGCTCAATGTCCCTCATCTGTCTGCTACTGGATCCACAACTTCTTGTCCAACAGGAAACAGTATGTCCGGGTGGTGCTCCACAGGGCTGTGTGCTCTCTCCTCTGCCCTACTCTCTCTACACCAGTGACTGCCCTTCTGACAGTGAATCTGTTAAACGTATTAAGCTTGCCGATGACATTTCCTTGATCGGTCTCATCTCAAACAAAGATGAGTCGACCTACCAGGAGGAAGTAATATGGCTCGTGTCATGGTACAGAGTTAAGTACCTGAGCTAAACACACAAAAAACTGTGGAGATGACCATTGATTTCACAAAGAAACCCAAACCTGCGTCTACTGGAAATGCACGGGTCCACAGTCAGCAGAGCAGAGACTTATAAATTCATGGGCACCTCCAATCAGCAGGACCTCAAACGGGACAGATACAGCAGTTATGAAGAAGGCACAGGAGTGCGTGTATTTCCTGCAACAGCTCAGAAAATTTGGGCTGCCTCAAGCACTGCTGGTCCAGTTCTACACTGCCATAATAGAATCCATCATCACATCCTCCTGTTTCTGGTTAAGCTGTGGATCTTCACACACCAAGCGTAAGCTACAGTGAACGGTGCAATGTGCAGAGAAAATCATCGACTGATGGGTCTCCAACCTCAAAGATCTTGAGATCTACTTAGCTGGGATGAGGAAGAGGGCAGGAAAGATCATGCTTGACCGGTCATATCCCGGTCACTCTATTTTCCAGTGGTTTCCATCTCAGCGGAGACCAAGAATGAGAGGCATAAATACTCAGACCATCTGCCTCCTCACATCCCTCTGCTTTAAAATGCTGCATGCTTACAGCAAACATGCTGTAATGCACATAACCACATTATGAAAAATGTTTAAAAAAAAAAAGCAAAAAAAAACGTATGATCTGTATCTGAGTGTAGGAGCAAGAATATGAACAAGCATTTGCTTATCAGAATCAAAGCATCAACATTATCAGTCTGGGTTGTTACTTTTGTACCTCCAGAAGAAACAGAGAAAAACAATAAATATGATGACCAAGAATAGATATTATAATGTATCTACATAAGTTTAAGATAAGATCTTAGTTGTCTATCCTGTTGCAATTAAATGTTTGTTAAATGCTCTGCCACAAAAATAAATAAAGGTTTGGATAACTAGCAGGATATCCAACAGAGAATAACATAATTGTCAGTGTTTGGTAGGTAGGTGTCGGTGTTGCTACTCTGATGTCTTTTAGTCAAAACAGTTAAAACAAATACAATTAAAACATTGTTGAAAAAGTGATAAAAGATTAAAGCTGGGCCTACAATAAGATTTTTAGCCTGATTTTAACATGACTTTTTTAACCCCATTTCAGTGATCAGAAGCGATTGGTGATCTGGTGGTGTGAGAGACTAAACTTCTAATTTTTTTTTTTTAGCTTTTTCAATTGAGAACTGAGAAATAAGAGGCCTTCTGATATTTCCAAACTATATCAACCGTTAATGAGTCTGTAGTGTGAGATGGTGAGTGCCATAACTGAATGAGCAATTCAGGCCACATCCAATCAATGAGCTAGGAGAGAGATAAAAGGCAAAGTGTATGTACACCGCATGTGTAGCAGATTGTGGAGATGAGTTCTGGTTGCTGAACACAGACAAATAAGAGTCTTTATATTGATTATATTGCTTATAATGTATGTAATGTGTTAAGGCACTGTCTTTACAATTTCATGTTAGTTGCAGTTTGTTATAAAATATTTCTTCAGCTCTCGCTGTTGAATAGAATGTCTGTGTTTCTCAACCACATATTCATCCACAGTTTGAGAAAACTCAACGTTTCTGGTGTGCGCTTCAAAGCACGAACAGATTCGGTCTAGTTTAGCTTCCTTTGTATAATGTGATACAGGGTAGATTTGGTGGTTTGTAGAGCTTTTTTGTAGTGAAACTTAGAAAATCTTAGAAATCTGTTGGGATTGTGAAAGTCATATAATGTACATCCAGATTAAGAATACTTAAAAAGTTGCAAAAAAATCAATGTATATATTTTTCTCAAATATTTACCTGCACAATACGCCACCCAACAGACCGCTGGGTTGACAAATTCATAGACATAGTAGTTTCCTGGGCAAGCTTTCACTCGAATAGGTTTGGATCTGAAGTTACAGCAGTTGCCAGCCCAGTTACCGCAAATCTGGCGAGTGACCACTCCGTCCTGCAGCTGTGGATGAGCACCATTGAGCCAGAGGGGGATGTGAGTGCCACACATGTACATATTAACACATGACTCTGGCATCCGGACGTCCTGTCCATAATACATGAGTCTGTACCAGCCAACCCACGAAACTTGATCACACCTCTTATTCGGAGCGTCGGAGAAGTTGGTGGCTCTCCAAGGTTCGTCCAGCACAGTGTAGCTATAGCACGGGTCAGCACTGTTGGAGACTGAGATAAAAACAATTTTAAAAAGTGGGACAGTAACAACAGAGATGATCAACCTATGATGTCAGCGTGCTTAGTCATATCTACTGGTGGAGGAAATGTCCTGCAGTGCCTCTTATTAGACCTCAACTAATGGATCCCTAAAAATTACTGAGTTATACCAAAAAAGTTAGCCAAACAATTAAACTACTATCTTAGTTCTGCCTATTACTATTACAATTTCAGGTCACACTGCCTTGTGAAATACACTTGAGCCTGGCTGAACTGGAAGACTGGTGAACTTAGTCCTGAAAAAATCGAACGGAAACTGAAGTGGAACAATAAGAAAATATGCCACAGTCAGTTCATTTTGATTATTGTGATTGTTTCATTATGAAAAAATATGAACAAGCATTTTCTAATCAGAATCAAAGTATCAAAATTACCAGGTTGGATTGTTACTTCTGTACCTGCAGGAGAAAGAGAGGACAAAAATAAATATGACAATACATTTTTTAAAATTAGATTATTATTATTATTATTAATTATTATTTTTTTATTATTATTATTATTAATTATTTTTATTATTATTAATTATTTAAATGTTAAAACATAACCTGCTTATGTTTAAGACATAATGAATACATCTGTTAAGATTTAACCAAATGTTAGCATCATTAGTAATCAGTAAAAGTCACTTGTGGTGCCAGTATATTTAGGACTAAACAGATGTAGTTTGTAATGGCAGTGATAATAACTTAGTAAAAACTGAATATAATTTTGAGTTCTGATTTGATTGCGCAAGCTGGGTTAGTCCCCAAATCGAAATGGCAGATGATTGCTGTCATATAGAATCTCTGGTTATAAGTAAGCTCAAAGATGCAGTGTGCCAATCTTAAGCTGGATCGGCTGTAAAGATGCTAAGAAACAGCTGGATAGCTTTAATAGCACCCCCTACTGAGATACATGTGCCAAAATTGACAGGCTCTCAGAATCTTTTGACACACAGTAGAGTTTCGTCAATCAGACAAATTGTTTTTGTTTTTGCTGCTTAAGTCATCAATGCTGTGATCCAGAAGGATTGATTGGCATGTGGTGGCTTTGTTGTTTACAAATGTCTATACTGTTTGGATAGTTATGGAGGCTCAGGATCTTGCAGATATTTTGATACTAGTTTCTTGAGGATTGGATGATAAACCCAGGACAAAGTCTCAAAAGTAGGTGTTGTAAAAATCCAAATTATCTCAAAATTGTGGTGCGGGGTTGGAGGGCTGTTTAGGAGACATTTGGTTTAGTATCAGCCAGTAAAGCAGCAACACCCAGAATTCTGTCTGTGTTCTGTATTTTGAGGGAGATGTAGGCCAAAACAAAACACTATTCTTTAGCGCCCCCTTCATGCCAATCAGATTCATCTCATGCCTAAGTAGCAGGTAGGAGTATCTATTGACCCATAGTACAGTTCCATATCTGTGCACTTTATGGTTTTGTCAGTACAGATAGTTTTAGCAGAGAAAAATAATTTATGTAAATCTGTGCAAAAACCTTGAACATAAATAAAAATGTAGATAAAAGGAGAATGTAAAAAAAAAAACAGAATAACATACTTGTCAGGGATTGGTTGGCAGGTGTTGGTGTTGGTGTTGCTAATGCTAATCCAACATCTTTAAGGCAAAACAGTTAAAACAAAGAACAATTAAAACATTGTTGAAACAGCACACTGTCCATTTCCTTATATTTTAATGATGAAATATTAAAACCAGGCCTACACCACATCATTTAGCCTGATTTAAACCTCAGTTTGCCCATTGCAACAAATATTCACAAACACAATTTTTCAGGTGAGAAGTTTGATCAAAAGCGATTATTAGCGTGGCTGATCTGGTGGTGTGAGAGAAGAAATTATTTCAATTTTCCAGTCTAGATCTTGAGAAATCAGAACGCTTCTGATATTTCCAAATATATTTGATGTTCATAAATCAAAAAATTAACAAGTTCTGTAGTGTGAGATGGTGAGTGCCATAGTTGAATGAGCGGTTCAGGCAACGGCCAATCAGTGAGCTAGTAGAGAAATAAAAGGCAAAGTGTATATACACTGAATGTGTTGTGGATCCTGGAGGTGAGTTTTGGTTGCTGAACAGAATAGAATGCGTTTCTCAACCACAGATTCATCCAAAGTTTGAGTTTTAACATTTCCTTTGTGCAAATAAAAGCACAAACCAGGTTCAGAGTAGCTCTCTTTCTACAATGTCATGATGGGGTAGATTTGGGGTGATGAGAGCTTATTTGTAGTGAAACGTGTTGTGTGTGATTCCCTCTCTTTGCCTTATTGTGTAGTGTGATTGTCCTCACAACAAAAAGGCAAGACATTATGAAAAAGACTGACATTAACTGTATGATGATCTCAGTCATAGAAATCTGTTAAGAATGTATAAGTCAAAGTGTAAACCCAGCTGAAGAATGTTTATACAGTTGCAAAAACAGTATATCGTCTCAGATAAATACCTGCACAGTATGCCAACCAACAGGTAGATGGGTGGACAAACTCGTAGACGTAGTAATTTCCTGGGCAAGCTTTCACTCGAATAGGGTTGGATCTGAAGTAACAGCAGTCGTTGTTCCAGTGACCGCAGATCTGGCGGGTAACCACTCCGTCCTGCAGCTGTGGGTGAGCACCATTGATCCACAGGGGGGCGTGAGTGCCACACATGTACATATTAACACATGACTCTGGCATCCGGACATCCTGTCCATAATACTTGAGTCTGTACCAGCCAGCCCATGTAACATACTGATCACACTTCAAATTTGCAACGTTGAAGTAGTTGGTGGCTCTCCAAGGTTCGTCCAGCACAGTGTAGCTGTAGCACGGGTCAGCACTGCTGGAGGCTGGAAACAGTTCAAAAAGTCACAGAAATAACAGAGATGATTATCTTATGAAGTCAGTGTGTTTAGTCACATCCACTGGTGGAGTGAGTGTCCTGCAATAGACTTCCTCTCATTAGACCTTGAATAGATTCCTAGAAATAACTGTATGATTTACCAAAAAATGAGTAACTAGTAGCAGAGTGCAGCATCACTTAGCCAAACAGTTAAACTAGTGTCTAAGTTCTGCCTACTACTGTTAAACTGCAGCCCCGCTAGAATAGTTCAGTTCATGTTGCCTTGTGAAATAGACACGAGTACAGCTGAACTGGAAGACTGACAGTCTTAGACCTGAAAATAAAATAACTGAGCCACTGTCCGTTCAGGTATGAAAACTGTAAAAATAAAAATTCTCAAACACCTCATGATTAGCATCTGAGTCTAAGGCAAGAAAATAAATAGCTAATCAGAATCAAAGTATCAAATTTACCAGTCTGGGTTGTTACATCTGTACCTGCAGAAGAAACAGATGAAAACTATAGATATGACATTCAATATAAAACCTTATGATTCAATTAGTCTTTATTTTTTACATTAGATACCTATTTAAAGGTTAAAGCATAACCTACTTATATTTAAGATGCAATCAATAAATCTGTTTCAAGTTTTGACCATATGTTAAAACCACTTCATAAAATCTGCCATGAAATAAATTTAGAAGAAGTAAGAAAAAAATAGGACACCAAAAATAGATTTATATAGATATAATACCGCAATATGTGGGGTCCAAGCACCAGTTAGCTCAGTTATCCCTAATAGGCCAGGCTGGGGCCTTTTTTGCAGACAGAATGTAAATGATAGAGGGTCAGACTTCATCAGAGTCCTTTATATCTCATGATAATTGAACAAGGGCCTTCAGTAAAGATGTAGGTTTTGTACATATTAGTTCTGTGATCTTCACATATTAAGCTGCATTGAACAAAAAAGCCAAAATACTAGACAGTGCGATTTCTGTCATGACTAGCAATGGCAACAGTGTTTAAATCAGAGAGATCTGTAATTTATTTGCAGGAAATAGAAAATAATGGCAAATGGATTTTTTTATGATTTTAGTCTCTGTGTGCACTGTAGCACCCCCTGAAGGCCAGTCTCCATCAGATTTTTCATGCCTTATTTGAATTTCAGTTAAAGTACAAGTGGTTTAAATTTCGAGATGATGAGACTTTTTGAGTTTTAGTAATTTAATGCAGAATTGCCAAAACCACAGTGATTAGTTAATGTCAGTTAAACCCAAGTTCATATGGCTTGTTTAGGCCTAAAGTCATCTAAAAGATCATTAGTAATTTCAAAGTACTAAATAAAACACTGTCATTCCTCCTCAGGCCAGTAATGTGCATCTTGTGTGCCCATTGTGATTTAGTGGGAGGGACTATCTATTAACCAAGTTTCATGTCTGTACACTTTATGGTTTGGTCTGCATGAATAATTTTAGCAGAGAAAAATAATTTGTGAATGAGTGAAAACAATGGGGACCTTTGGTGCTTGGACCCCTAAAACTAGGATAAAAAGTAGATATCAAAAACAGTAACTTACTTGCCAGGGATTGGTAGGTAGGTGCTGGTGTTGATCTTGTAACGTCTTTTGTGCAAAAGAATTAAAACAAAAAAAATTAAAATACTACTGTTGAAAAAGCACATTTTCTTTCTAAACTTCAATGATCATTGATTAAAGCTGGGCCTGCACTAGACAACGTTTCCACTGATTTTAACCCCAATTTGCCATTCCAACAAGCTCAATCAGAAATGATAGCGTGGATGATCTGGTAGTGTGAGAGAGGAAACAAGTCAGCCTTCAGCTTTTTTGAGACACCAAGTGATGAGAAGCTTTCTGATATTTCTACATATCCTTGTGATGTTTGAAATCAAAATATTAACAAGTTATTTAATGAGATGATGAGTGCCATAACTAAATGTGCGATTCAGGCAACAGGCAGTCAGAGACCTAGGAGTGAGATAAAAGGCAAACTGTATGTACACCGCATGTACAACAGATCACGGAGATGAGTTCTAGTTGCAGAACACAGGTATATAAGAACTTTTATAATACAACCCAATTCCCAGACAAGTTGGGACATTGTGCAAAATGTAAATAAAATGCCATGACATGCAAATTATTTAAGCTCTATACTTAACTGAACATAATACAAAAATAACACAATTGTATTTTGAAAAATATATGCCTGTTTTAAATTTGATGCCAGCAGCCAAAAAATTTAAGTAGTATCTAAGTTCTGCCTTACTGTAGACTTTTAAACCGTAGTCACACAAAAAATCAGTTCACGTTGTCTTGTGAACTAGTACAAACGAGTACGGCTGAACTCTAAGACTGGCAAACTTAGACCTGAAAAAAATCTAACTTAAGTTGACAATTAGAATAATAAAAAATTCTGCCACTGTCAGAACATGTATGAAAAGTGTAAAAAGTAAAAATTCTAAAAGCCCTCATGATTTCCATCTGAGTGTAGGAGAAAAAACACAATGAAGCACTGGCAAATCAGAATCAAAACATCAAAGTTACCAGTCTGGGTCGTCACTTCTGTACCTGCAGAACAAACAGAGGAAAATTTTAGATACGATGACCAAAAAGAAATATTATAATGCATTGTGCTTTTGTTATATGAGATACCTATTTCAATGTTAAGGCACAACCTACTTATATTTAAGATATATTCAATAAATTAGTTACAAAGATTTAATGAGATGTTAACATCCTTTTCTAAAACCTGCCATGAAAATAAATTGTGAGTAGCTGGTAGGTTTTTTTGGGGTTTTTTTTTCCTAACATAACAATAAAAACAAAAAATATAATTTCAAGCAGCAGTAAATGGGGTCCAAACACCAGTCAGCTCAATGAGGTGAGCCAGAATGGGGCTTTTTTTTATTTTCTTTTATTTATTTTTTTTATTATTATTTTCTTCCTCAAGTTTTCAAATTTTGGTATGGAAAATGCAAAAAGAAAATAGTAAGCAGTGATTTCTAAGATGTACTTTGACTTGTATTTCATTGCAGACAGTATTAACAAAAAATATTTCAAGTTTTGTCTGGTCAGCTTCATTTTATTTGTAATTATACATCCATTCTTGCCATTCAGGCTTGCAACAGTTCCAAAAAAAAAGGCTTCGAAGTTGGGACGGGACAATTTAGGGCCAGTAATCAGGTAAAATAATTAAATAATTATTTAGAATTACTCTATTGGTGGAGTAAATGATCTGCATTGGGCTCCCTCTCATCAGACCCCCAGACATAACGGTGAGATCTTCTAAAAAATTAGTAACTGGCATCAGAGTGCAGCATCACTCAGCCAAACAATTAAACTAGTATCTAAATTCTAAAACCAGTCACACTAGAATATTTCAGTTCATGTTCCCTTGTGAAATAAGCATGAGTACAGCTGAACTTGATGACTGGCGAGCTTATGCCTGAAAACGATCTAAGTAAAATTAAGGGTGAATTTTAAAAATGTACTAGTGGAAGTTCAGGTATGAAAATGTAAAAAGCAAAAATTCTCAAACACCTCATGATCTGTGTCTGAATGTAAGAGCGAGAATATAAACAATTTGCTAATCAGAATCAAAGCTCCAAATTACCAGTCTGGTTCGTTACTTCTGTAGCTGTAGAAGAAACAGAGGAAAACAATAAGCAAAAATAAATATTATAATGCATTCCACTTTTGTTACATTAGTAACCTATTTAAATTTTGAATCTACTCGTGAATGTCTGTTACCTGTTGGTTTAGCTATTATAACAATAAAAACATAAAATTTAACTGCAATTGGCAATCCATGGGGTCCAAGCACCAGGGGTCTAATGAGCCAGACTGGGGCTTTTTTTACAGACAGAATGAAAATGATAGTGGGTCAGACTACACAAAAGTCCTTTATATGTCATGATTATTGAACAAGTGAAGTCAAGATATTTATCAGTCAAGGTATGTATCAAGTTTAACACAGGTTGATTGTTAGTTCTTGTTATAGCAAGCTGCAGAATTTGAACAAAAAATTAAAAAATACCAGACAAGCAGTTCAATATCTAACATAACTAGTTATTGCAAAGATGTTTGAAGAACAAGAGACCTTTTTGTAGGACAAAGGAAATAATTGCAGGATTTTTAATGATTTTTAGTCTCATTTTGCACTGTAGCACCCCTTGAAGGCCAATCTGGGTCAAGTTTTACATGCCTTATCTGAATCTCAATTCATGTGCACGTGAATTAAATTTTAAGTTGATGAGAAATTTGTTTCAGAATTGCCAAAGCCACAATGATTAGTTAATATGTGGCAAAAAGTCGATATTTTTGATAAGCATTTCCTTCCAGATGCCACAGATTACTTCAAGACAAATTTTGAAAAGATTAGATGAATATCATACCACTAATGTCAAAAGAACTATTTTCAAACTATTTTTGGTAAAAGGAATAAAACACATTATAATAGCAAATTAAATTATTAGTCACTAAATTGTGACTAATAAGTGAAGTGAAATGTTATATGAGATATACTTAATCAAAATTTTCTAAATTGAGCCCTCCAGTGGTCAGTCATTTTGGATGAAAAACCTAGGACAATTTTGCAAAAGTAGGTGTGGTGAGAGATATAAAAAATATTGCTGAATTTTTCCAGGGGGAAGGCAGAGGGTGTTTAGGGTTTGTGATGAATTTTGGATTAGCATGAAACAATAAATCAGCACCATCCAGAATTATGTCTGTATGCCTCATGGTATAGGAGATCTAGGCCAATACATAATTGGCCTGACGATGCCTGACAGTGTTTTAAGTTCATCTCGTGTAGCAGGTAGGACTATCTATTGACCAAAGTCCATGTCTGTACACTTTATGGTTTGAGAAGAATGAATAGTTTTAGTGGAGAAAAATAATTTATGTGAATTTGAGCAAAAACAATATAGATCTTAAAAATGATTAAACAATGATCATTAAAAAGCACATTGTCCTATTACAACTTATTATTTGTTAAAGCTCGGCCATGAAAATCAATTAAAAATCAAATAAAATGTGCTATATCAAAAATAGAATAACTTACTTGTCAGGGATTGGTAGGTTGGTGTTTGTGTTGCTACTTCTAAGCAAAACAACAAAACAAAACAAAAAAAAAATTGAAACATTATAACATTGTCCCTCTTTTTTGTATTTTCACAGGTCAGTACTGCTGGGCATTGAAATATAAAGTTTTTTAAAAGTGTCAGAGAAATAACAGAGATGATCTACCTATGAAGTGAGTGTGCTTAGTCATATCTACTGTTGTAGCTTATTATTAAACAGTGCAATACACTCAGAAAATATTTCCCTCTTTTAAAGCAAATCTCGCCGTCTTTAAGGAAATGAGCAAAAACAATTCTGTAAGAGAAAATATATATTCATGAAATTCTTCTCTACATGTTTTTATCGTGCAGCATGGCATGATGCCATGATCTGTGTGTAGGTCATGTTAGCTGTTAGCTACCTAATATTTGTCTGCGAAAACCCACCTCAGCCCTGTACCTCCTGTCTTTATACCAGCCCTGACAGAGCTGACAAACTTACTCTCAAACTTCACACTGCTGCACAGTTTGACTTCCTCTCAAGGTTTCTTCCCCTATAAATCGGCTTTGTGACAATAGCTGCTGTAAATAGCACTCTATAAATAAAATTTGACTTAATTTGCCTTAACCTTCCGACATGCTGTTAAAATTTCCACGGTAACAGCCGTGTCACTGATTATGGTTAGTGAGTTTCTTTAGCATGATTTTTTAAATCAAGGTCGAAATCAGAATGACGTACTTCATTAGAGTGTCTAGCAATGTCTCTCAGTCTCGTAGCTCATGGTAAGTCTACCTTGGCCAGTGAAAATTTCAAATCCCCTGTGGTGATTATGAATGGCATTTTTTACTTTCAGAACCAGGCTGATCAGCTCTGTTGTTCTCCCAATGTGGTGGTGAAGAAGAAGGCAGCTGAATGCCAAGATCAGAAAAGATTACCGAGATTACCCATTACCACGATCTGGGGAGTCCTTCGATGCACTGTCAGGGGCTCAAGTTTTTTCTTGTTTAAACTTGGCAAGTGGGTAAGGAGAGGCTTGTAATGAGGCACATCAAGACCCAGCTGCCTCCTTTACTGGACCCTCTGCAGTTTGCATATCGCTCCAACTGTTCTACAGATGACGCCATAGCCGCCACTCTTCATCTGGCCCTCACTCATCTTGAGAAGGACACTTATGTTAGGAGGCTGTTCATAGACTTCAGTTCAGCATTCAATACCATAATTCTTCAGCATCTCGTTGGAAAGCTGAGCCTGAACACTTCCCTCTGCAATTGGATCCTGGACTTTCTTGCTGAGAGACCTCAGTCAGTCCAATCAGGAACAGCATCTCACTAAGCACTGGAGCCCCCCAGGGCAGTGTGCTCAGTCCACTGATGTTGACTCTGCTGACTCACGACTGTGCGGCAGTTCACAGTTCTAACCACATCATGAGGTTTGCTGATGACACTACTGTGGTTGGTCTCATCAGCAAGAACGATGAGTCAGCATACAGAGAGGAGGTGCGGTGACTGACAGACTGGTGCAAAGTCAACAACCTATATCTGAATGTAGACAAAACAAAGGAGAAGGTTGTTGACTTCAGGAGAGCACAGAGTGACCACTCTCTGCTCACCATCAACAACTCCCCTGTGGAGATTGTTGCGAGCACCAAGAACCTCACCTGGACCCTGAACACCAGCTTCATAACCAAAAAAGCCCAGCAACATCTCTGTTTCCTGTGGAAGTTAAGGAAAGCTCATTTCCCACCCACCATCCTTACCACATTCTACAGAGGCACTATAGAGAGCATCCTGAGCAGCTGCATTACTACCTGGTTTGGGAATTGCACCGCCTCCAACTGCAAGACCCTCCAGCAAATAGTGAGGACTGCTGAAAAGATCATTGGGGTCTCTCTTCCCTCCATCACGGACATTTACACCACACACCACTAATTCTGTGACTGACCCCACACACCCCTCACATGAACTATTCTCTCTTCTGCCGTCTGGAAGAAGGTACCGCAGCATTCAGACCCTCACAGCCAGACTGTGCAATAGTTTCTTTCCACAAGCCATCGGATTCCTCAGTTACCAAAGACTGAATTGAAGGACACCCACACGGACCCACATACGCATAACAATATGAGACTAACTCTCTCCCCACTTCTTGCTGTTCCAAGTTATGTCTGGAACAGCGTATTTAAATATAATTATTACATTTCACTGAAACACTTCATTTGATATAACTTGTAGATCTGACTACTTGTTAACAATGTTAGCTGCTAAATACTGTATCAACCAAATACTGTTTATAGTGATGGTTTAATTGTGATTTTAATTTCTATTACATATCTTTAAATTTGAATGTAAATAATCTATTTATTTTCTTATTTATAAAGCTGTTTGAATGACCACACTTTCTGATGATCACTTTTTGTGCTTAATTTGGGTTGTTTAAGTTCCATAGGATGCCATTCATGTTCTGTGATGTGCCAAGCACTTTTCAACGACTAATGCAAAGAATTCTGGGTGATCACTGGTTCCATTCCCTTTTGTTGTATCTGGATGGCATTGTGGTCTCTTCATGTCTTGAAATTGAAACTAAGTGTGAAAGGTCGAATGTCTTTTGCTTTTTTTATGGTGAATTGACCTTTTGAAATTTTGGTCCTTGACTTCATCCAATTAAAAACACCAGTGATTCAAGGTAAAAAGTTCTAGTCGATACAGATGTGTTTTTTAAGTTCACTCAAGCTGACCCCACTTAAGACAAGAAGGCAAGTACAGCAGTCGAGGTCTGGTTGTGGGAACATCTTAAGCACATAGCAGTTATTTATACTAGTAACAGGGGACAGTTGGAAGCAGCCACAATACATCGGTTCCAAGTCTACATTATTCTGTTAATTGTCCTGAGAGTTTAATCTACCAATGTAGTCATCCCTTTAGGATAACATATGATTCAGGATGTATGGGGCTCCATGGTGTATGACATCAAAGTGTCTGGATGAGGTGGGCACCCTTTACTAAGACAGCCCAAAAACAAAACGTTCCATAATTGTTGTAGCTATGCAGCCATTCAACATGCAGCCTTCATAAACAGAAAGTACTCACAAGTCATGTTCACAAGTGTTTTTCCAGCAATGAGCTGTTCACTCTATGGGTCATTGTGTATGACAGAAAAAAGTTCCTGATATACTTAAAGCAATCTAGTAAGAAACTGTCAACAAAATCAAGTTTATGTACTCCAAAATGCACTTTGCTGCACAGAACTGTGGCCAAAGAGCTGTTTTACTCATCAACTTTGATGTTTCAGTTCCATGAAGATATTGAAACTGACTCCACAGATGATCACGCTACTCCAAATCACTCGGACTAATATGACACTTGATTCCTGGCACTGGTGCTGGAGTTTGATGAGTCCTAAAGGGCTGCAGCCTACATTACTACTTAATACCTCTGATGGTGCTGGAGACGGCTACCTTTCCTGCTAACATGCAGCTTTTATTATGCCTATTATTTATGTATTTGTACATTTCACACTGTGTACAAAATGTGCAAGTTAAACATTGCTTAGGACTGACTAACATTACTAGACATCAGAAAACAATGTAGGGACTGCCATTTCCTGATCCCATTGCTCGCCCCAGAGGCCTAAAGTCGACTGTGGACTCACCTCAGGCAGGAATACGCCGACCATGTGCATGCAAATGTAAACAGGAACGGGGTGGGTGAGCGAGTGTCCAAGCAAGGCTAGCAGAGCTAACTAGGATACCACTTCCCAGCCTACTACTCTCAAATGTCTTGAATACAAGCTGGACGAACTGAGATTCAGGCTTGTGATAGATCACCAAACCAGGCACTATGGTGTTTTTATTTTTACTGAAACCTGGCTTCATAGCAGCCTACCGGACTCAGCTATCATGCTACAGAGACTGAAAGTGAACTGCACTGACCACACAGCCACATCCCTCAAAACAAAGGATGGGGGACTTCTGTTAGCACTTCTCCTGTCCAGCATGTGGGGAAAACACACTGGATCATGTTTACAAAAATGCCAAGGAGGCTTACAGCACCACTCCCCTGCCTTCATTCGGTAAGAGTGACCACATCTCTTTAGTAATGGTATCCACATACTGGCAGCTGCTGAAACAGGTTAAAGCAACAGTGAGAACAGTGTGTGTGTGGCCTGAAGGGGCAGAGTCAGTGTTACACAACTGCTTTCAGTGAACTGATTGGGACGTTTAAAACGGCAGCCACCAGAGACACAGTTGACATAAATGAATTGGCAACATGTCAGTGGATTCATCAAGAAATGTTATAATGTAACTCAAGCAAAGCAATGGATGAACAGTGAAGTCCACAGTCCGCTGAAAGTATGCAATACAGTCTTCACATCTGGCAACAGTGAGAAACTTGAAACTACCAGAGACAACCTAAAGGCTGGCATCAGGGCTGCAAAACACAAGTAGCTCTAAACGGACTCGCCCCTCAGTACCTGAGTGAACTTCTCACCTACTATGAACCATCACGCCTACTTAGATCACAAGGTACTGGCTTACTGCTAGTACCTAGATTTAATAAAGTTACATTAGTGGGGAGAGCCTTCTCATACAAAGCCCCCCAGCTTTGGAACAATCTTCCAGTCAGTGTTTGGGACTCAGACTCAGCCTCAGTCTTTAAGTCTGGGCTAATAACCCACTTGTTTAGTGGAGCCTTTGGTAATTAGTTTTCCCTGTTAGATAAAAGGTGCAGATCTGGGGTTCATGGTCAGAGAGTATTATGGTAAACTGGGAGTGTTGGTGCTGTCGTCCCGCTGCTCACGTGTTAACTCAGGTTTGCTGACGGTGGAGCGGAGGGGCGCCGACATCTCAGGGAGCCTCATGTCTCTGTTACCTTCTGGTTTCTCTCTGCTGCTGCATTAACTAAAACTAATCTAATTAACCATTGATCCACCTGTTTTCCCCGTTTTGTACTATAATACTTATACTAACGCTGTTTGCTATCCGGTGTGGACCAGAGGAGGATGGGTTCCCCTTTTGAGTCCTGGTTCCTCTGTGTTTCTTCCTTTTGCTCTTAGGGAGTTTTTCCTTGCCACTGTCGCCACTGGCGACGCTCATGGGGGCTCAGACCCAGAATTTTCTGTAAAGCTGCTTTGTGACGACACCTGTTGTAAAAAGCGCTATATAAATAAACTTTGACTTGACTTGACTGTCATGTATTTCCATGATGGTTAGTGTCCTCATCCTCAAAGCTCACATGCTGATCACACTTCCTGGGAGACACTAATCTGTCCCTGAAGAGAAACAGCACAGACTCTATACGGCCCTCTCTGAAACAGACCTCATGGCTGGGAAGTGACTGTCATGATTTGTTGGGTACTGGAAGCAGAGCTGGAACTCTGCAAGATGGTCAATGCTGAAATGCTGGACGCGGTCATAATCACTGGGAAAGTGGTGTGTGTGTGTGCCGAAGAGAGGATTGAGGGATTGGTGAATAGCGGTGTTGTCTTGGACCCCGTGAAGAGCTGTGATGTGCACTGGCATGCTGTGGTGCACAGTCCCAGTAGTAATTGTAATCAGATGGCAATAGCAGGCTTGTCACAATTTGGACAAGCTTCAAGCACAAGTTGTGTGATCTCTGCTGCATAGACTTTTAATGGCTCTTTAGGTATTTGGGGTCTTGCATTCACAAAAGTTTGGAAAAGAAACCAAAATTGATTCCTCCTTAAAACATCACTCAGCTTTGCTTATAATTCTGTTGTGCAGACAGAAGTAAAGACAGCTAACATGTTAAAGCTTCACCACTCAGCCTACTGGGAAGAGTTGTGGCCATATTTTGAGCTTGTGTGCCTGTATAGGCTTTAACAGCAAGTTGCAATCTATCTTTCCACAGTGAAAAACTTGCTTTGTTTTTGCCATTAAAAATGTTAAAATTTCACTCTCAGTCTGTTCCCTCCCTAATAAGTCTACGTTCCTCCCAACATTTAGCCCCAAATTTCTCACAGTTGTCCCTGGACTTGTATTCTTTGTACAAGATCATGTCTTGACCCGCAAGACTATAGAGCAGCTAGGAGAACGAAGGGATGTAATGACACGGATCACTTCGGCTTTCTCCACTTCGCTGATGGCTAGCTCCAATGTGGCTTGTGCTATGAGGCTTACGTGAAGCTGCAAGTTCTGTGGTGAAAGTGCATTGAGAAACACCTCAAGAGCTCACAATGCACTTCTTTGGGAAAGCGAGAATTTCTAGTTTTCTAGTTTGTATTTTTTCTTTGTTGTTTGTTTCCTGTTTTTCTATGGTTCTCTTCATTGCTTGCATTCACTACTACTGCTTGCATCCTATTTTATAAACTCTATTAATCCTCAAAAAAAAAACTAGCTTTAACTTGCATCCTGCCTCCTCACCTCTATTGTTACATGCACAAACGTCCCACAGTGTTTTGACCTCAGGCTACAATACATTGCTACTTTAATATATCACGCACCATGTGATCTGCACACAATGTAGGAAAGTGTTTTTTGTTGTTTTCAAAGCTAAACAAGATTAAAATATTTTGTAATCTGAACCAAACCATGTAAATTACCAGTCTGGGTCTTTACTCTTCCACCTGCAGAAGAAACAAAGGGGGAGAAAATAAATATTATGACAAAAAAAATTAAATATTATACACAGTGCATTTTTGTCACCTTAGATACCTGTGTAAGGTAAAAACATAACATATCCTTGGTATGATTAAGATTCAACTTATTACTATTACACTTCTTTTACTTCTTCGTATTATTAGTAGTGGTATAAGTATTATGCACTGTGTCTTAAAAGTAAGGAAACAGCCATATAAAATAAAAACAGTTTGGCAGACAGTGATCCAATGTTAGACACAAGCTGTGGGGGGAGGGGGGAACCTGTTAGGCCATGTCACCAACATGGTGGCAATCTTGAATGCTGCCATCTTGGATTCAACTTAAGTTTTACAGATGTGTAGGTAGGTGTGTGACACATCAAACTGGTAGAGAATTTTAGCAGAAAAACAGTAGTGTGCTTTATGTCAACGCAACTTTATTCATTCTCTCTTTTTTCTGTACAGGCGATGTGAAGGATGGTGTTATCCCAAGCAGAACGTATTAAGATCATCCTTATTTCTGGTGAACGGAGCACACATCATCGCAGAACATTTCAACAAACACCACCCAAACAGGCATCCCATTACCCACAGGACAGATGCCAAAATTCTTGCCAAATTCTGAGAAACAGATTCTGTTGCCAATAAACTAAAAGCTGGACGACCAAAAACAGGTATGGATGTAGCAACTGCTGTTCTGGCCTCATTCAGCAGGAGCCCGCCCCATAGCACCCGTCGTCTGTCTCTGGAATGTGGGGTTAGCCATGCCTCAATTCAGCGAGTTTTGTCTTCCTATAAATGGCACCCTTACAAAATTCAAATGCTGCAACACCTGACTGAGGACAACCCAGACCATTGGATAGAATTTGCAGAATGGGTGACACAGCAACTTCATGTAAACCCTCGCTTTCCCTCTCAAGTGCTGTTCAGTGAGGCAAATTTCTTTGTGAATGCTGAGGTCAGCAAACAATCACCACTCCTGGTCGGAAACAAACCCTCACTGGACTGATCCATCTAATACGGTTGCCTCACCTAAAGTCATGTATGGGGTACATACACACCATACCATACCATCTTCATTGACGGAACATTACGTGCAAGCCATTATGAAAGGCTGTTAGATGAAGACGTGTTTCCTTCATTGTTGTCAGAGGATGGAATATTTCCTGTATTCTTCAAAGAAGATGCACCCCACCTAATTACTGACACATTGTCTATCTTGATGTGCAGTTTCTCCAAAAGTGAATTTGTTGTAGGGGTCTAACCGAGTGGCCGCCACATTCTCCTGATATAGCCCCTTTGGATTTCTGTCTGAGGGGTCATGTGAAGGCACTTATTTACTTGGAATGTTGTTCATCTTAAAGACAGAATTGTTGATGCTTGTGCTCGCATTCAGGCAGAGATACCACCTCTGTTTTTCTGGTGGAATTCTCTACCCGTTTAACGTGTCGCACATCTATCGTCCCATTTGTAAAACTGAAATTGAATCCAAGATGGTCGCATTCAGGATGGCCGCCATGTTGGTGACATGGCCTAACAGGTTTCCCCCTCCCCCCACAGCTTGTGTCTAAAATTGGATCACTGTCTACCAATTCGTTTTCATTTTGTATGGGTTTCCTTACTTTTGTGACACCCCGTACTATATTTTATCTTAATATCTTATTACTATAATACTTTTGCAATTGATTATTTTTATTATATGTTTTTCTATCCACCTTATTCCTGCGCCCTATGATGCTTTGAGTGACATAAACAGACAGCATAAACGGACAATTTGTTACATTTGTATATCATCCTAACAAGCATTCTTTATTGTTGAGATTTTTGTTTGTAATCAATCTGTCAACCAAAACCTGAAGCTGCATGAGAGAAATGCTTTTTGTGTTTACACAGAGTCAAAACCATAAAGCAGTGCCATTACGCAGCAATGTCTAATGCAGACGTTTAGAACATTTTAAACCAGCATTTTGATAGTGCTAGTCAGATATCGACCACTGTGTGTCAGCATCAAGCTATCAGGGTTAGCTCAGTGCTATATCACATTTTCATCTTAGCTCTAGTTTAACTACAGACATTTTAAGCTTGTAACAGGCATTTAAGTAACATTCTTTACCTTGTATTTCTCAGTTTTCAAGTAACTCTTTCTTTTAAGTCTTAAAGCCTGACTTTTGTACCATTAACCTGTTAGTTGGTTAACTTTCTGCTGCTGGCTCAGCCTGCTCTAGAGGGCTTAATAGGTTAGCAGGTTATCTAAGAACTTTCATGCAAATCTAAGAACTTTCATGCAAATGAACAATTATTGTTTAACTAGTGCAATATAAACGCACACATTGCTCACATCCTTTTTGGATAAACACGCATTTCCAGGTAAGTTTTATGTTTTACAGATACATCACCTCAAATAGCCTAAATGTTGCTTTTATCTTTATCTAGTGAATGACACTTATGTTTAATGTAGTAGAATACAGGCACTTACTTAGCAAAATGAAAGCTATGATTAGGAATGGCACGTGTTGCTGATGTGCTGTCATGATGACTGACCACGATGTTGAAACCTACAAAAAAAAATTCACTTTAGAAAAATTCTTATCACATTTATCAGCTTGCAATGATGAATTATTAATGTATTGTGGAGCTCCTTATCTGACTGATCTATTTAGCTGGAAACACGTAAACAAAGACACTTAAATGAAATACATTTCAATATTCTTTATAGTCAGCTTCAGGAACGCACCATTTGTTGTAATACTTAGCAATATATATTACGTATTATACAGGTGAAATTACAGTTTCTGAAGTTTGACTGTGATATCCTGTAATGAGCTGGGATTAGGCAAATAAGCTTTATTATGGGTAAACCAAGAATCATAAACAAAGTTCAAAGCAGAGGCCACAGCTTCTAAAAAAATCTCAGACAGAGGTAAAAAAAAATACAGGATAATAGGAAGTGGCTCAGAACTGCACAGAAAAGTGGCAAGATTTACCAAAGAATCAGGCCAAGAAATGAAGTATACATATGAGAGCTAATGAGTTCAGGAATGAGCTGCCACTATGAGAGGGTGGAGGATAGAGGTTCATTCCTGCCCTGCTTAATTCATGTAGCTTTGCGGAAGACCATCCACCTATTGGCCCATTCAAGGAGAAATGGAGCCACAAACCAACTTGAAAGTAGAGATGGTCAGAGCTGCCCAGCCTCTCAGTGTTCACAGTTGTTACCATCTGAGATCAGCTAAGCCTGCAGTACAGCCAGGTCCACTTGTAACTCAGCAAGAGCCAAAAGAGCTTTGCTGCTGCAGGTTTAGAGAAGAAACTGAGGAGGTGAACCAGAAGCTGCACTCCAGTTTAGAATCTACATTCTCTCAGTTTTCCCCTCTCACAGAGGAGAGAATCCCACCAGACTACACTGGCACTGTTCTTCTGGCATGGCAGTTACTGAAGAGATTAATATTCTCCCATAACAAGCTGTCTCTGTTATTCTCTGCAGAGCCTCTGCTGGGTTTGTCATGCTGGACCAAAATGCTGCTGCATGGAGCATCACCAGGGAGTGTCTGTTGCAGAGTTCTTGGTTTTCCTACATCAGAACCCACCAAACATTTTAAGCAGCGCTTTTCAGTTGCAGTCCTTTGAACCCACCTTTCACAGGTTCAAGTATTCGCTGCTCTAACACACCTAATCAAACTCATAAAGGGCATGATAATTAGCTGATGAGTTGGATCAGATGTAGTAAAGCAAGGACAGCCTGAAACTGTTCAGGACAGTGCGTCAGTAGGACTGCAGTTGAAAACCAACGCTGTGAAGGATAAAGAGATGATGTATTGTTCTCTGAGCTTCAACAAAAGCAGTGGAAAGACAGGGCTCTCTACTGTCGAGCTGTACTGAAAAAGACAAACATGCCATCGAAACAATGTGAAAGAGACATCCTGGGTCATCAGAGCTCAAGGCAACATCCAGGCAGTCTCCCATCCCATAAGAGCCAAATACATGAATTCTCATGAACTCCCCTCAGAAGCAGAGCTGCTGAAAAGACATCACCAAGCTTAAAGCACAGTCAGCACCTATGCAACAAATGAAAGGGAAAAAAGGAAAAGGAGACCAACTTCTGTAGTTTTGAAAGTGAAACATTTTCCCATTTTTGCTTGATATAGGATTTCAGCTGCTCACCAGATCATATTTGTCATGTTTATAGTTTAATGTGACATATGTTTTCAGTGGGTGACAGACTGCAGTCAGGTCAGTTTAGCACATAGACTATTTTACTACAGAGTGATGCCATTATAATACATGCAGAATGTGGTTTGGCGTTGTCTTGCTGAAATAATCAAGGCCTTCCCTGAAAAATATGTTGTCTGGATGGAGCATATGTTGCTCCAAAACTTGGATATATTGTTCAGCATTAACGGTGCCTTCACAGATGTGAAAATCACCCATGCAATGTGCACTAATGCCCCCCATACTGTCACAGATGCTGGCTTTTGAACTGTGCACTGATAACAAGCTGGATGATCCCTCTGCTCTTTAGCCCAGAGGACGCGACGTCCATGATTTCCAAAAAGAATTTGAAATTTTAATTAGTCTGTCCGCAAGACACTTTACCACTTTGTCTCAGTCCATTTGAAATGTGCTTGGGCCCAGAGAAGGCGGCGATGTTTCATGGTTCATGTTTATGGTTTTGTCTTTGCATGGAAGAGTTTTAACTTTTTTTTTTAACATTTGTGGATGCAGTGATGAACTGTATTACATGCCAGGACGGCGTGCATGTTTCTTGTTTGTCTTTTTTTTTTTTCCCTGTCTGTCTACCTTACTTATTAACAAGTGCAACCCAACCAGTGGCTGTGTGAGTGGCAGCCCTCCAATAAGATGTCTACTGCTATTCCCTCATCCTCCAATCAGAATCACGGCTGAAGATAAAAGGCTGATCTGGCAACATGTGAGGGGAGGACAGCATTGTGTGTCTGTGAGGCCTTTGGTTTGCTGGCAGTTTGGTGACTTATGCTGTTATTAAAATTGTAGCCCCGTTAGTTTTAGTTCTGCTTTGGCCTCACTGTGTCTCTTCCTCGTTCTCTCTCTCTCGTACTCTGTCGCTCTCTCTCACTCACTCTCTGTGTATCTCCTTCTAGCGCGATGAGTGAACAGGCAGTTTGGGCTCACCTTTATATCTGACACTGTAGTAACACACTGTATAGACACACTAGGTAAGGGGTGAGTACCACCCACTGTATTCTGTGCAGGTTAGTTCCTGTTAGGCAGGTTAGAGGTTTTTTATTATTTTCGTTGCTTTGGCTCCCGTCCATACTCCACCATTGCAGCTAGCTTCGCATACAATACTATTACTCTCAGCCTTGTCAGTACTGAAAGTCAGTTTAACTTTTCGATCACATTGAGCTTCATAGATTAGTCCTGTAAGCCAGTCACCAGTTCATCTTGTTGATTTTGTCTAGCTGGATGTCTTATTGTCAGCTGTCTTATGTCTTTGTTCCATTTCACTCCCAAACCTTTAAAGGTGTATGTGTACACGTTTACTATTGAACAGTAAAGCTTTGTCTAAACGTGATGCTCCTGTTGTCCGGGTCTCTGCCTTCGTGTTCCTGAGCCCATGCAGTGATTTCCACTACAGAATCATGTCTGTTTTTAATGCAGTGCTGTCTGAGGGCCTGAAGATCACGGGCAACCAGTATTCGTTTTCAGCCTTTTCCCTTACATTCAGAGATTTATCTGGATTCTCTGAATCTTTTAAAGATATTATGTATCACTGATGATGAAATCCCCAAGTCTACGGATATTTTACAGTGAGAAACGTTATGCTTGAATTGTTGCACTATTTGCCTGTGCTGTTTTTCACAGAGTGGTGAACATGTCTCCATTTTTACTTCTGAAAGGCTCTTTTGATACCCAGTCATGTTACTGACCTGTTGCCAATTAATATAGTTAGTTGTGTTATATTATATACTTTTTTGAAACCTGTTGCTAGCATCAAATTCAAGATGGGCATATATAACAATAAAATGTCTCAGTTTCATCTTTTGATATTTCGTCTTTATACTATTTTCAAAACTGAACTTTGAAGTTATAGGGTTTGAATGATTTGCACATAAGTGCATTCTGTTTTTGTTTACATTTTGCACAGCGTCCCCAACTTTTTTGGAAATGGGGTGGTAAAAAACATGGTGCAACAGTCTATTCTTATTCTACTTGGTATGCATACACACTACCTAAAGGGTTAATTAGTGCAAAGTGTACTACACAAATCAAAATTGTCAGAGAAGCATACGAGTGCCTTTTAGACACTGGTTCACAAGGAGAACTATTCGTTGGTTCTTATGTCATGCCAACTTGAGTGAACAACCCATTAAAGTTTCGAACTTGAAGTCGGGGAAGAAAATGATCCCGTTGGAATTAAACGGTTCTGCCTGACATTTTTGTCAAAACTGAATTATTCACATGTTCTAATTCTGTGACAACATTATGGTGAGGTGTTTTTTAAGTTGTATGCATCGTTAGACTTTATCTAGAAAACAAAAAAGGTTATATCACCAAAATCTAAATTAGTTCTATAAGGTTTTATCTGTGAGCCAATCAGCTGACACAAAAGGACCAATCAGGTTCTGCTTCTTTGTCATGTCGCCACTCTGCTCAGTGACTGTGCGTTTGTAAAACTTATGAAACATGAAAACATGTTGCTGAAACTCTGTCTTCTTACAGCTCTTTAAAAAGTCTTATTGTCTTAAATTGTATAAATGTTTAGGCTTAAAGGTAATTAAATTGTATACGCTTCAATTGATAGGATCTTAATTACAACATGAATATTCATTTCATTCATTCTTCTATCTTTCTTTTTCTTCTTTCTCCAAGTGTCACATTTCTGATACAAAACCTCAGACTGCCTTTAGACAGACCTGCTACACTTACTTGCTGGGACAGTTTATAACAGTAGCTGTTTGCTGTCTAACTAAAGCAAACTTAAACTAATGGTTCCTACCAATTATTAATTAATCTCTATTAATTAAGTAAATAATCTCTCAAGAATTTAAATGTTTGTCCTAAAACAATACATTTAAAAATGTCATAGAAAGCATAGAATTTAACTTTCAGATATGTAGACACTCTGTTACAACATTAATATTATGTTTTAAAACAAATTACGAGTAAACTGTGTGTGTTCCGTGAAAATCATTGCTTCCTTTTATGTTTTGCCAGAACTTTATATCTACAAGCAGAAGTTCTTAGGATGAGAAGGAATGCAAAATCTTCAAAGCTCAATATCTCCAAGTGCTCAGAATGCAGACTGAGCCGTATAATTCCAAGGGAATAAAAAGGCCAACCAGTTCTTTATAAACACACTAAAGTAGTCATCAGCTTCCTTAAAAATTGCTGGCTCTGAATTTCTCCTCTATAGCCTTCATTTTCCCTAGACAGTCCGTCACATGTTCATAAAGAACAATAAATTAGATGCTCTGTAAGGAGAGTCTTTTGAAGTTCCTAAGAATTATTCACTTCTATATGGATCTTATGCAGTGTTGAAGATACTTCAGTCAGTTAAGGTGGTCCTCTAAGCCTGGTGACATAGTTTTCCGAGGAACCAGCAGTTACACCGGAAAGACAGAAAAATACCATTCATACAGTTCTAAGCATTTGATTACAAGGAAGTGTACAGTGTCAGAGCCACTGGCCCTGTCACTGCCAGAAAGCTTTGTTTCAAGCTGTTCTTCCTTTTGTGAATGCACGCACAGTCAGTTCCTACACAGTGAGACGGATCATGATGCCCTGTAAATGTATCATTGCTGAGTTACTAGCTTCAGATGAATTCAGCCTTTAAGCTGAGCATCAGTTTTTGGGTTTTGGAAATTCCCCATTGTCTACAGAATGGAAAGAGTCAGTCACTGAAAAGCTTAACTTGACAAAAGGTATTTGCCTACCATGACTTAGATTTGGGTTAAACATTCAAGGTGAAGCACTGCATCATTTTAATGCATGATCTTTCTCCCCAGGACATAGGAGCAGTAAGAAAACACCTTTAAGTTCTGCGAAATATTGAAGCCATCAGTGAGTCAGAGAGAGTTTCTCAGTGTCAAGAACTTGAAGAACAAACTTTAATTTTTGGAAAAAATATTGTTAACAGGTTACCTTGGAAGAACTTGAAAAAAAAAACGAGGATGATTTTGTAGACTTCATAGTATGCAAGTACCTTTGCTATGGTGCAGTTCTCAGAGCCCAGTGAACAGAGGCTACTGTCTATAGTGCCACTTACCTTTGTCTCTGGCTTACAGGTATATCCTTTGCTAGAAGCTAATGTGTCCTTAAATAGCCCTTTTAATCATTCCTAATCAGAAACATAGACATTTAATTATTTGATGTGTACTGTTTGTCTTGAGGTTTAAAATGTAATAAAGGGGCTAAATTACTTAAATTACAAACAGGAAACAGACAAAGCATATGAAATACAAAGATATGATCAATACTCTTACTTGTGGAACTAGTAAAGCTGATTCCATCAGATAACAGTATGATACATAGGTTAGAGAATTCTATGGACTGAGATTGGATGTCTGCATTGGACAGATTTTTTTAGTCCCACTCCTGCAAGATTTTATTCCGCTCCTGTAGAATACCTGCACCATTTGTCCAGCTCCCACTCGCAGCCTAAACGTTTTGCCCCACTCCTGCCCGCAGACCTTTGTAACGGGTTCCCATCGGTGTTAGTCACGATTAAAAATAACTGCCGCAGGTCAGATTTGTCTTCGGTGGGTTTCATTGTCATGGATTGCCTTTATTAAGAGCTCTTTCCACAGCTATGGCTGTCTGACTGTCTACTGTCTTTGCCATCTTTAGCTTAGACACTATGTTTAGCCTCCTTTTTAAGAATAAGCAGGTTACATTAAAAATAACATTAAATAACAATGAGCCTTACCTTTAGGTAATAGGTTTCCTCACACTCAATGATGCAAAACAAAACAAAAAAAAACACTACTTGAGAGTGAATATTGCCCCCGTGTAGGGTATCTGGGGGAAAAATGATTCATCTGTGTATTTCACAAAATGAAAACTAAAAAAAACAAACATTTTACATGCTGCTTCTGTTTGTCGCAGTTAAAATGAAAGATTATTACAGCTATTGAGATTTTTTAGAAGTTTATGTCCTTTTTTTTTAACTCTGCACTACAAAAAATGTTATTTGTGCTACAACACTTGCAACTTTTATAGCACCAGCACTTAATACCCAAATATTTTACTTATAGTTCTTAATAATAGATATTATTTGTATGAAAGAAACAGAGATTTGACAACTTTATTATCTATTTCTTGTCTCTATTTTTAAAGCAGATGTTAGTGCACTGTTTTCTTGAAATAAGAGAAATGATAAACTTACATTTGTGGGTCTGATTTGTATCCTCTGCCAGTTGTGACGGCTGTGCAGTGATAGAAAAGCCTTTCTTCATGTTGGCAAGCGTTTGAGGCGGAACAAAAACGCAGTGTACCTCAACCATCATTGACGTATGCATTCTTATATACTGGAATGCAACTTGGCCAGTAAAAGTTCAAGCAACATCACAAGAATGTCAGAACACGTATTGAGTAACACTGAGACACTCCTCTTTCATCTCCCATTGCTGTTGGGCAGTGAAGCTATGCATAGACGTTCTCAGTGCTTGATTTAAAATCAGGGCACTTCTAGGCTGAAGTTGAAGAGTTGACAAGCACAAAGCTGTGTTTGTTTGTACACTAGCATTCTGGAAAGTGCTATAAGGTGTCACTAATACATCAACATTATTAGTTAAATCCAGAGGTTAATGGAGAAATGAGATTTAAGAGATTTACATTTGAAAGTCTTGGTTTTTCTTGATGACATATTATTTTAAAAACAACCGAAGAGCAGCACTTTATAAAAGGGTTAAACAGTTTTAATAGATCTCAAAAAGTATTGTCTGAAGTTATCACCAGAGAAGTACCATGTTTCCTAGTTTGTTTACTACTTGGGACCTGTGACTTAAAAACACAGAGTTGAAACTGATCCTTAAAAGCTGAAGGCACTTAAATGTCAAAGAACACAGATCTTATATTACAGGGTTCCAGACTCCAACAAAACTGTTTGCAATTGCGACCACAATTATTCATTTGCAAACAATGAAATTAATTAACTCACCAGTGGTGACAGGTAGCACCTTTGGATTATTATTATTTTTAATGAATAACTATTTATTACTATGTTTCTGTAGTGATTACTTTTTTGTTGTTGTGTATTTTCTTTTAGCATTTTTCATCTTAAAATGTAACTGATAGGCTATAGCCTCACATGGACACGCCAGCCTATCAAAAAAAAATGCCTGAATGGGGCGCTAGACAACAGTGCATGGAGTAGACGCATATATTCCGAGCTACTGTGCGCTAAGTTTATAAAATTGAATTTTCTCACCGTCTCTCATTTAATTTTTACATATTTGTTTAGTTCAGTCACTTACTGGCCGCGACTGCAATTCATGGTTTTGTAATGCTGCCGAAAACATCCAAGCATTTGCAGGAACGCCAGCAGCCAGCGGCAGCTAGCAATGATTCTCTTAGTCAGGATGCTAGCTACCATCAATCTGATGAAGAGCTACCACTGATACAGGAGAACATATCGAATAAGATTTTGCAAACTATCAATGAGAGGTTTGACAAATTCGAACAGTCCTTGCAAACAACAATACAGGCATTTGCAGAGAGGACAGAGGCTATTGAGGGGCAGGTGCAAGACCACGAGGCCCGTATTAGCTCCCTTGAGGTAGCCCTCGCTGACACCCGGAAGGCGAACAAAGTGCTTGAGGCAAACGTTGATGATTTAGAGGGCTGGTCACGTCGCAATGACATTAAAGTTGTCTGCAGTCCAGAAGAGGAGGAAGAAGGAAAGCCAACTGAATTCAAGGCTGCCCTGATTCCTAAACTGCTGGGCGACAAGCACTTCCAGGAACCCTTGATCATTGACCGGGCTCACCGTGTTCTTCAGCCGAAACCATCAGAAGGAGCAAAGCCCTTCACCTCTCCTGCAGATGTTTTGAAATTCATAGACACTGAACTGAAACAAACGCCATGAAGCATCGGCTACCATTGATTTTTTTATATATTAAATATATATATAAATATAAATTCTATATATATACATACATATATATATATATATATGTGTATATATATATATATATATATATATATATATATATAGTTTTTATACACCCAGGCCTCTAGGGGGAGCTAGTTCATCTTTAAGTGTCTCTAATATCCTATAAAATGGTGGCAGAGTAGAAGTTGAGCAGCATAGTGACACCAACAAACAAGCATCTGTTGTTGTGGAGGAGCCTCTGCTGTTCAACTTACACAGTCCTTTGTTTGAGGAACTTACCTTCCGTTTTCATTCAGTAAGTGTTTTGTTTTTTTTCTAAAACTTAACTTTGTGCTAGGTATAAACATTGTGTTGGGGATTGGTTGAGGCTTATGTTAATGCTAAGGTTAATGTTAGCAGGCCATATTTTCAGCAGTTAATTTATTTACAAATTACTGTGTTTGCAGGACTTTTTTGGTGCTTATTTGTGAACTGCTGGTGACAAGAGAGGCTGGTTTGACTTTTTGTCTTTGACTTTTTTCCCCCATTTCTGAGAAATAACTACAGGCATTTTCCAAACACCACACAACATGGCAGCCACTCAGCCTGAGGTATTGGATGGGCCTAGCCTACCACTTGAATACCCTGCTGGTCCTTTTGCAGGGACGAGGACATGGATCCAGTCACGTTTGTGGAGAAGTGTGAAGAGTTTTTAGCTGTCCACCCACTGAGTGAGGCTGAATTGTTTGCTGTCTTAACATCTGCTCTGGTGGGGGACTGCTAAGGACTGGTGGTCTGCAGAAAGAAGGTATATCAGCTCCTGGCCACAGTTCAAAGCTGTGTTTCTGAAATCCTTTCTAATGGATGAATCTGAGGCAGAAGTAGAAAAAAGGCTTCATGAAAGGTGTAAAGGGACCACAGAGAGCCTAAGAGACTTTGCTTTCCAGTACTGTGCTCTTTACCTCAGGTGGAAACAAAACATGCCAGAAAGATACAATGTCCAAGCCATACTGAGAAATTGTAATCCTCACTTGGCTAGTCTTTTAAGAGGTACAGTGAAAACTGTGGCAGACTTAGTGAGAGTGGGGACCCTCATTGAAAGAGACATGTCTGAGATGAAGTCCTTTTATGCAAGTGCTAAGAGTGAAGCTCAGAAGAAGAGACCTCTTCCCCCAACAAGCCAAAAAACACTAGCATACCTTATGCCTGCTACTGAGGGACAACCTGTCAGCAGAACTAACCCATGGCAGCCAGTTGCTTTCCCTATTCAGATCAAGTCCTGAATAATACATGCACTAGTGGACACAGGAAGCACTTATTCCCTCGTAAGGTATTCTCTCTGAGAGAAGTTAAAGGCACATAGGGAGGTCTGGAAGCCTTCGGGAGGACAGACATTTTCTTTGGCTAATGGGGCAGTGCAGAGTGCTTTAGGTATGGTTGAATGGGACTGCAGGTTCCATGAGCATGGGCTGAATCTGAAATTGTATGTGCTGGACAACAGAGACCTAGCATTTCCTTTGGTTCTGGGCATGGACTTCTCCACAGTGCTGGGGTGACCATTTTGTAAGATACCCTGCAACTGTGTTTAGCCCAGCCTTGGCCAAATGTTTCTCAACTAACCCTGCTACATCTTGACCTGTTGAGAGACAGAGCTGATGTGGACATTTCGGACAAAGAGAGACTCCACCACTTATTGCTTCAGTGGCCACACGTGTGTACTGATGCACTGGGTTTCACTTCTAGACTCCAGCATCAGATTAACGCAACCGACCAAATACCCATCAGAAAGAAAGTCTACAGGGTGTCACTGGAGAAGCAGAAGTTCGTTGAACAGGAAATCAACAACATGCTGGAGAAGAACATCATATGGCCTTCCATCACCCCTTGGGCCTCCCCTGTTGTTCTGGTACCGAAGAAAGATGATGGGATTCACTTTTGTGTTGATTACCATGGGTTAAACACCAAGACTCATTTGGATACCTACCCCATGCCTCAGATACAGGAGATCTTTGAGTCCTTGCATGGTGCTCACATTATCAATACACTAGATGTTTTAGGTAGTATGCTAGATTAGAGGCTAGCATACCAAAGACTGCTTTCGTTACTTGTCGAGGGTTGTATGAATTTACATGCCTTCCTTTTAGACTTAAAAATGCTGCAGCTGCCTTCCAGCGTCATGTTGCAAGGGACAGATGGGGAAGAACATGTGGTCGCTTATGCCACTGGGACACTTTTGAACAAAGCAGAACAGGCTTATTCTTTTTCTGAAAAGGAATGCCTAGCGGTTGTGTGGGCAGTAGAAAGGTGGCAACATCATTTGGAAGGACATCATTTTGAGGTTATAACAGACCCTTCCGCCCTCACTTGGGTTTTTAACCACCTCAAGCCTTCATCTCATTTAACCCAGTGGGCACAAGGTTTTGACTTCACAGTCAAGTATCGCAGGGCAAGTGTAATGTGGTACCAGATTCTCTGTCATGCAGCTTATCTAATGACACCAGTATGCAAACCATTGCTGCTTATCAAGCAAATACTCCTACCAGTGACTTACCAGTTGGCTGGGACGAAACAGGTAAAAGCCAACATGCGGATTCAGCATTGCAACCCCTATGGCAAGCTGCCAAAGAGGCTAGCCCAGATACTACTCGCATCCACTACAAAATCCACAATGGCTATCAGAGTGTGCCTACCCAGCAGGGGGGGACAGTGTTATTAGATCATGGTACCCACATTAAGATCACAATCTCTGAGCTTTGCACCTGACAACCCAATGAGTGGTCATCTTGGACAGATGAAAACCCTCAGAGGACTTTTGGATGTAGCTTATTGGCCAGAGATTCAAAAAAAATGTGTGGAATGTGTTGTAAATTATGCACTGTCTGTCAACAGTACAAACCATGAATTCCAAAGCTGTCAGGACAACTACAATCAACCCCTATAGTTGTGCCAGGCTACATGCCAGGCATAGATCTCACGGAGCCATTTCCAAAAAGCAGTAAGCAAAATGAATATTGTCCCATTATTGTGGACTACTGCAGTAAATGGGTGGGACTGTTTCCCCTGCGCTTAGCCAACTAATATCCTCCATTCCCACCAAAAAGATTTTTGCTTGTTGGGGTGTTCCAGTTTATCTTGTTTCTGATCGTGGACCACAGTTCACTTCGCAGCTTCTGAACGCAATGTGTAAGCAATGGGGGGTGACACAAAATTAATGGTTAGATTTATCACCCTCAAGCTAATTTGACAGAAAGAATTAATCGTACATTGAAGTGCATGCTTGCTTCTTATGTAAAAGACAACCTTCGTGCTTGGGATTGCTGAATACCTGAATTCTGCTTTGCCATTAATTTAGCATGGCAAGAAAAGCACAGAAATGACACCAGCAGAAGTCGATGACCACCAGAG